ATTAACAAAACAAAACCAAGAAAAAAATAACAAACGAAGAAGACAAAGAAAGAGAAAGAGAAAGAGATGGGAGCATCTGGAGTTAGCCTGTGGTTAAAGCCATCCTCCTCCGAGGACTCACTGCAGACTCTCTTTCTCACAATCTAACTGACCCTCTCACCTACCACCTACGTTTTGTTGACTCTTATTTGCTTTCACAGCTGAAGCAGTCACTGTGGGGGGATAGAAAGGAGAGCTTTAGGGGCCATCTATTCCAAATGCCGTCTCTGCCGCCAGCCAGCTGTACGATGACTTAGACAAGTTACCTAACTTCTCTGCCCCTCAAGAGTCCCATCCGTAAAATGGAACGATAACAGCACTGACCTGCCTGCAGGGTGGTTGTTGCTACTCAGTGAGATAATGCATAGTTTGGGGGCTCAGGGTATGCCTGGGTTCTAGACATAACCATGGAACTTGCCTCTCTGCCTCAGTTTCCCCATCTGTTAGGTGTGAGTAATATGGTGTTACCTGCAGGACTACTGCGAAGAGCACATGAGTTGATGTACAGTGTGCTTGGCTCTTGGTGGTGGTTGGTGAGTGCTCAGTCGATCTGAGTGTTTATGACAATGCTGAGACAGAGACTCGGATGCCAGTCCCATAATGAGTTCTCAAAAGCTAGGGCTTTAAAATAAAAAGGCCCCTCCTGGGGAGGCACAGGCCATCTACCTATGAAGCCTGCAGCCTGGCCGGTATTGCTCAGTGGTTGAACATTCACCTATGACCCAGGAGGTCATGGTTCTATTCCTGGTCAGGGCACATGCCCAGGTTGGGAGCTCAATCCCCAGTGTGGGGCATGCATGAGGCAGCTGATCAATGATTCTCTCTCATCATTGATGTTTCTGTCTCTCTCTCCCTCTCCCTTCCTCTCTGAAGTCAATAAAACTATATACTTTTAAAATGCCTCCAGATATTGCCAACTGTCCCTTGGGGGGAGCTGGGGGCGAAATCACCTCGGGTTGAGAACCCCTGCTCCAGCAGATGGAGCGTGACAGGCACGGTTAGTCACCCGCTCCAAGGACAGCCCTGGCGCAGAGCATTTGTCCTGGCACAATGAGTGGGGCCGGCACGTGCAGAGCCCAGTGGCAGGTGGTCAGCTCCGAGCAGCCTGGCAGCAAGCACCAGGAGCGTGGGTCAGGGCTAGGACCCCATCTGCTGGGAGCCCAGCAGTCAAGCAGGGTCAGATCACAGCTCATATGACGCTGAACCTGGGCACACCCTGTCACTCTTTCCTTTCCAAACCAGGACCAGGACTGGGTCCAGGGTCTGGGCAGGGCCACGCCCTGGGGGAGGGAGGGAGAGCTTACCTGGAGGGTCATCCCACCCCTGATGACCTTCATGACGTCTAGCTGAAGAGCACAGGCTTCTGGGCAAGAGAGACCTGGTTCAAATCCAGGCTCTGCTGCATGGAAATTAAACCTAAAAAGAAAAAGGAAATCCCCAGGCACTGACCCTTAAAACAGGGAGACCACCTCAGCCAAGTTGCTTACCCTCTGAGCCCTGGCTCCTCGTCTGTGATAGGAAGATGATGGCGCCAGCCTCACCTGGTGGTTGTAAAGAGTAAATGTCCTGTTGTTATGACCGTGGGTAGCATTACACCCGCCACGTCATGGGCGCTCAGTGAATGCTGTTGATTGAATGAATGAGTCCTTTTGCAGCAAACCTGGCTCCTCTAAATCCTTTTGTCATTTTAGTTCTCTTCCCTGGAATTTCTCCAGCTTTCTAACATAGGAAACCGTTGACTTCTCAACCGGAGGAAGTGAGTTATTCCTCTCTGGATAGCATCTGGCCTGGAAGATAGTCAGTGCTTAAAAAATGAAGTTTTCCTTTCTCGACGGGCAATGACTGTGCCTCAGTCATCTCTATGTAGTCATAGCCCAGCACAAAAACTGACATGGTAGGTGATCATTGAATGAATGAATGAATGAATGAATGAATGAATATACAAAAATGTTGAAGAAAGCCATGGCCCAGACACTACCCCAGGATCCTCCCTGGGAATCCATTCCTACATGTCACTTAGGAAGGACATTGCTGCTTACCAGGAGGAGGTGTCCTCACCAAGGCGCTGGGTGACAGAGGAAGATCTTGGGCAGAACTTCTGCGCCCCAGGCAGCTGCTGGGGACCCTTCCCTGCGGCCCACTGCAGGCTGTTCTCCCCGCCGCCCCCGGGAACTGGTCCAGCCTTCATGATCCTCCCTGCCACAGCAGGCCAGGGTGGGTCCTCCTCCCTCGGGATAGAGCAGTGTGGGCTGTACCCTGCAGGGTCAGCTGCATAGACATAAGAGTGGTGTTTGTTACGAAGACCCACGGCTAGTGAGTCAGGAGACCTGGGTTCTGCTCCCATCCCAGTCACCCACCCACGCAGTGACCCTCCCTGGGCCTGTCTCCCCATCTGTACAATGCGGACTTGGCCATGCTTGGGACAGTTATATCCTTTGGTGCGTGGCCAGGCAGACAGGTCAGTCCACAGCCATGTTACTGAGCAAGTGACTCGCATGGGACACCAACCAGTGACCTCAAGGCACTGCTGGGTTTCTCAAAGCCACCGGCTCCCCAGGCACCTGGGTGCTGCAGGGCAATGAACACAGTGTCAGGTGATCGTCTGCTCCGAAACCTGGATGTCTGATGAAAGCTGCAGGGCAGGGCACAGGTAGATTGTCCCAAGGGGGCTAAAGATTTTCAAGGGGGACCCTCAGGGTCTCATTGATGGCTGTGTGGGGGGAATGTTTATGAGAGCAGACATCTTTTCTAGAACTCCCCCATCTCTCTGCCCTTCCACGGTGCAGAATTAACTGACAAATAGGTGCTTTCCCTTTGCTGAAGTCTGTGAGGACGGATGGGGGAGCGCCAGCCCTGGAGAGCTGGAAGGAGCCAAATTCCCTCCATCAGAACAGGAGCCGGGAAAAGAGGGGTGGGCGGGCGGGGTCTAGGGAGAGGAGCAGCGAGAGGTGTGGAGAGGGAACGGCTCTATACAATCGGGGTGAGCTGAGTTGCTCTTTCACTGAGAGGCGTGGAGAGAGGTACAGTAGTGCAGGGCCTTGGGGGAGTAACTCAGCATTCCTGTGCCTCAGTTTCTTCATCGGCAAGCTAAGGATAATAGAACCTTCTCCCTAAAGGAAAACACTTAGAACCGTGCCTGGCAAGGAGCAGGGGCCGTGGAGATGTGTGCAGTGATGATGGTGGTGGTGGATATAAAAACCCGTGATATCTTCCAGAGAATTTATATCACTTAGGGGGGCACTGAGCAAATGGCTCTCCGGGGACCCGGCAGGGTACCAAATCCCACGTCGGCTGCACGGCTGCATCTGCGGGTAGCCATGCAGCCAAGACGGCCAACAGCAGGCAGGGCCGTCACCCGAGCTCTGCTGTGTCACCAGGGACTCCCCAGAGCCAGCACTGAGGACCAGGGCCCTGTCAGACCCGGAGAGCATGGGGCATCTGGCCTGCATGTGGCTAAACCATCCAAAACTTGCAATGGGCCGAACTTTGTCAGCAGCCTGCTTCCCATGAGGACACTTTCCCCAGCCGGAGGCTCGGACCTTCCAGCTGGGCTGGCTCTGCTGGCAGGCTGTCCTCCGGGGATATTTTCAGATTCTGGGTGACATTCCCCGGCCCCTCTGTCTAATAGGTCCCAGATGCTCCCTCCTCCTCAGCCTCCCTCCCTGCTGCTGTCCTGAACCCCGCGCTGGCTAGCGGGGCTGCTGGGGCCGCCTCGCCCAGTCACTACACCTCTTGCCTTTTTCTTTTTTTTAATTTAAAACATTTCATTCCCCTTTAACACGATGGTTGACAGAGGCCAGCATCAAAGAGGCTGTTTCCTCCTGGATGGGGACCAGGACAGAGAAGCCGGCAGATGAAGGTGGGGAGAAGGAAGCCGCTTTGGGAACGTGAGGAGAAGGGGAAGCATAAGGAGTCTTTATTGGCCGAGCATAAAAGAAGCAACTGGAGTAGCAGCTGTGTTACCGTGCCCAGGTCGCCAGGGGCTGGGCAGACGCACCAGCCCAGCTGGGAATCCCACAGGCCCTGGGGCTTTCATGACTCATGTTCTGCAGAAATGCCTTCCCTACCTTCCCGCCCCACCCATCCTCCTGCCCCCTTTTGCAGAACATTTGAATTTGTCATTCTTGGGCATTGTCAGTAAGAGATGGGGCTATTGTTGAGGCCTGTGGGAGGGAGGGAGGCAAGTGGACACAACTAGAAGGAAAAGAAAAGAGAGGAGAGGAGAGGGGAGGGGAGGGGAGGGGAGGGAAGGGGAGAGGGGAGGGGAGGGGGGAGGGGAGGGAAGGGGAGGGGAGGGGAGGGGAGGGGAGGGGAGGGGAGGGGAGGAAATAGAAAAGAGAGGGGCGTGGAGGGCGGTGGGGCTGGAGCGCAGAGGTGGGCGGTGAAAAAGGAGTAGTGGGCAGTGACCCAGGATGGCAGACGCCTGACTCACAGCTGAACAGAAACCAGGACAGGCGGACAGACAGGAGGCAGGGGACCCAAGGTGAAGCCTCCTTCGCTCCTGCTGCTCCCTGCTCCTTTCCCACTGCGTTTCGTGGAAGCGTGCAGAGGACACGCGTGTGATAATCAGTCTCGTTTGGTTCCCTACACCCTTGATCTTCTCAGTGGGCCTGGGGGCCCACCGCCCGGTGTTCCGCAAAGCGGCTGTGTGATGAGCTGGGGTGCTTCCGGGGCGCCCATTCTGTGGGGTGGGAAGCTGAGGCGGGACGTCAGGGCCCAGCAGGGCTGCACCTGGGGCCCGGGTCTCTGGGTTTCTCACCCAATAATGAGAATTTGGAGATGAAATAAAGGGAGGAGAGATGATGGTGGGGAAAGTGGGCTGGGAAAGTGGGCCAGGGAAGTACAGGCATCGAAGACCAGATGGAAACCCCGCAGCTGAAGGATCTTGGACGCTGCTTCTAAGGCAGCCCTCCCCACGCTTTCTTCAGCGACACTGACCCGGCATTTTCTCTCTCTTTCAGGACCTCCTGTAAGTAACCCCAGCCGCAGCCTGTTCTCGCACATCCGAAAGGCCTTGCTCCCTGCCGGTAACCGGGCCCTGGGCGGGGGGACGGACAGCTGGCCCTGCTGTCTTCCCGGGGAGCCCCTACACCCTCCAGAGCAGTCTGCAGGGCCCCTCTGTTACAGACCGGGGACCTGGCCCTGGGTGGGTCTGCCTAGGGCCGGCCCATAGTGTGTGGGTTGTTGACTTCATGCAAGAAAAATTTCACAGCATGAGAACAGGTGACTATGAGGGTGCATTTATTACAGCTGGGGGCAGTGGAACAGGAGGGCTTAGCATAGAAGAAGCCACAGGAGAACCTAGGCTGGGCTGCTCTGATTCTCTAAAAATGTCACAGAAAATAAGTGAGCGGGGGCGGGGCTGCTCACTGGGAAGTCAGAGAAAAGGGGACCTTGGAGACAGGTTCAGGGGGTGAGCCCAGGATTGAGCCGCCGCTGCCCATTGCTGCCCTGGTTGCAAGTCTCCTGGGGTCCCTTAGAGTTTAGGAGATGCACGCCTGTGGGGGAAGAAGAGGAGGAAGGGAATGGGGGGCGGTGCTCCCAGAGAGAGAGCTCACACTGGGCCCTTTGTCTTGAGGGTTATATCTCTCCTTTGCAGGCGGGGAATCTTAGGGGAGGTCTCAGGGGAGGGTGTCAGCAGAATATGCATCAGGTTCCAGGGGTGCGCTTTCAGGGTCCTGGTCTCTACTGATGGGTCGGCACCAGGGCCGGGCTCCTTAGTCACTGCAGCTGGTCCTGGCGTCACCCCCCGGTTTTGCTGCTGTTCTGGGCCTGGAGCTGGAATACAACTGAAGCCTAGAGGTTCTCTAGGAGGTGACCCTCTGCATCTGCTGTAAATTGCCTGCCCAGTGTTCAGCTCTCTGCCTCGTTCCCAGTTCCACTGGTCCTGGCTCCCAGGCCTGTCTCGCCTCCAGCAGGTTGACACAGGGGAGAGGGCCGCCATTTTGCTCTCCACGCACCTCTGCACCCCTCCAGGGCCAGACAGCGGCGGCCCCCAAAGCAGGTCCCAGTTTCAATCTGAAAGGCTGGCAGGCTCCATTGTTCGCCCAGCTCCTTTGTCCCTAAAGAGCTGGAGTCAAAGAAGCACCAGGTATTAAGAGAAGAAAGAGCACCTCTATTCAGTGCTGGTCCTTGGAGGCCTCCTGCCCATTCCGTGAGCAGGTCAGTGAGCAGCTCTCCGTGTGGACGGGTCCGGAGGACGTGATGTCCGCCCCGCCGTGTGGGCAGCTCCGTTCTAGCCGCGCCACTTTGGACCAGTGGTGGTTGCTATTAGGAGAGCAGTGTCAGCAGTTAGATCAGGAGACACAAAACACAGGCAGCACCTCGGCTCCTTCCCCTGGCGTCGCGAAGGCCAAGGGCGGGGCGGGGAGCCTAGGCATTTCCAGAGAACCTGAGAAGCGTTCAAGGAGACTGGCCCCCGAAGTAATAGATGCAGAGAACAGCAGCGTGTCTTCTTGAGGACAGCATTTGATACCCCAACAAAAGGCCCCGAGGTCACAGGGGCGGCTGGAGGCGGGAGTTGAAAGGGCCGGCCCTCGGCATCAGATCTTTCTCAAGGTTACTGATAGCAGCCGGTGCCATCCCCCCGCAGAAAAGGCATTTCCATCCTTTCTTCCTCTTGGCCGTGCCTGCGAGAGCGCCGGCCCCGTCCGTAGTAAGACATGATTTACTCTTCCACGTGCTCCCAAGCAGTGCATTGGGCCCATGCACCCGCGTTGGCGAGGCCCCCAGCCCCTGCCTCCCAGTTACAGGGAGGGAAGAAAATCGTGGCGCTCCCTGAAAGGAGGGGTGATTTATCCTGACATGTCTTGGATGACAGACCTCAATTCCTGCCATCAATCTTCCAAAATAAACTCTGCCACCGGAGACCTCGACAGACCACCTGCTGGAACTGGGCTGCTCTCCCCCTTTTTGGACAAAGCCAAAAAGAGTCCTCATCACCCCACTCCCGGGACTTCCCTGTTCACTTCTCCCCACAGCCAGGCTGCTGGGCTCACCGGCTGGCTCAGCTCGGGGTCCCTGCCCATCTGCCTGGAGGGCCTGCCCTCACCGGGAACCGAGCGTTCTGAGAGCCCTGTCCCCAGCCAGGGAGGGTGCTGCCCCTCCTGTGGGCTCTGCAGTGCAGGAGCAAATGGGAGGGTTGCATCTGAATCTCCCCTTGTAATCCTGCCCACCTGGGCACCCCAGAGCCATCGAGTGAGGGGGAGGAGCCACAGAAGCTGCCCCGCATTCTCAGCCTGACACAGAGGAGTCCTGAATCTTTCAGCGGGGCTGAAACCGCAGGCAGGATGAGGAGGAAAAGGGAAGCTGGCCAGGGTGGGAATCACCTCCTAGCCCTGTTTTCTCTGCTTCTGCAAAGAAAGAATGCCATTGGCCAGAGGTGAGGGGTAGGGAGACAGCAGCTAGTCACAACGCCTGCCTGCTGCCCCCTGGTTATGTCTCAGGGACCCCTCTTGGGGTGGCTCTGTACTCCAGTCGAAAGACCCATGTTCCTGTGGGCACAAGGACCGCCAGTGACTGGAGAACACAGCCTGGGAAGGTGGCTTTCGGTAGCAGCAGGAATCATTTAAGGGGTACGAAATGTGTGGCCACCACTGCCCAGCCCCTCATGCCCATGGCAGACATTGCTAATCAATTAGGAGGCCTTTTACCATAGTGTTTTTATTCAACCCGTTGGGGTCCACACTCATGCTGACATCTGTTGGCCATGCCTGCACTAGATGTAACAGAGAGTTCTTAATGGTGGGAACCATGAGGCTGAAACAGATGACTGAGGGAAGAAGGACTGTCTCTTTCTCTGGAGGAAGATAGGGAAATCTATGATGACCAGCTGTCAGCCTGGGTCGACTGTGATCCTTGAATGTGATCAAGGCCCTCCCCTCATGTTGTTCACGAAATAACAGAGGCTCATAGAGCAGAAGCGACTCCAGGTCACATAGCTGCTGGGGCAGGTATACAATACCCTGACCTTCACACACTTCTCTCTCCCCCTTTATTTCAGGGTCCTATTGGAAGACCCGGCCTCCCGGTGAGTAGCTTTCGTTTCTTCTTCTGTGTCTGTCTCACATGCTCTTCCTCAGTCCAAGGGCCGAGAGGTTGGGTGGCTGCTTTCCTCCAGCTGTGGCAGGACGAGCGGCCTCTCTCCAGCTTCTCTGGCCCGTAGCTGAGGGGGAAGCTCCCTGGTACCTCCTGGGTCCAGACAGGCAGGTGACAGCGCGCAGCCCCTCCCACGCTGGATCTGACTTCCAGACTGATGGCCCTGTAATGGAGGCCTAACGAGGGCCTCGACAGACCACCTCCATACTCCTCTTGCACACCAGCTAGGAGTAAGACCACTGTCCCTGCCTTGTCCTAGGCCCTCTGGTGAGAGTACACTCACTCAAAAACTTTGTTTTCCACCCCAGTTACCTTATCTGAAAGCTAGAGAGGCTGTGCCAAGTAACCGTGGATGCTTTCAAATAAAATAGTCCCCTCTCATTGAGACCTTAATACGTGCCAAGCACTATGCCAATCACTCTTCACACATTTGATTTGTCAGCGACTCATTGAAATGGGTATCATTATGCCCATTTTATTGATGAGGAAACTAAGACACAGAGAGGTGAGATCCCTTGTCCAATGGGCCAAGCTTCCGTTGTAAACCTCTCGGAAGCCCACGTTATCACACACCATTCCGTACTGCTGTTTCCTGTGGTCATGCTCCGTGTCTGAGAACCGTCTTTAACGTCTTCACAGGCATTGCTCGGTAGGATGTAGGCTGGGACACATGTGCATTGAGTACTGGAGACTGCGGGCCCCTGGGTGGAGAGGGACTCGGCAAGACGCCGTAGCCAGCCATGGGGCGGAGGCGAGGTGTGGCGAGTGGCCCGGGGCTGGCACCAGGTTGCCCTCTCTCCCTGCGCCGAAGGCCGCATCCATTGAATTCCAGACCCGTGTGCATCCCTCTTACCCCACTTACTCCTCTTTGGACATGGATTATACTGTAACCTCGTGGCTAATCCAACAGCGTCTAGAATCCATGTCCAGCAGTGACTTTCTTAATGAAATGCATGTGGGAGAATATTTAGCCTTGAAAATGGAAGCTCGCCCAGTAAGTCCGAGCCCCGAAGCAGAGGAGGACGGGTGAATCGGTCCCATGAAACCCAAGGCGGGGGAAATCAGATGACTGGGGGAACGTGGGCAGACTTTGTTTTTCTGACAACGTCCACCTTTAAAAAGCATTTGGGGGCAATTCACAGAGCAGGGGTTGCTGCACAGAGTTTCCAGTCTCTGGCCATTCCGCGCCTGTCCCGAACCCCAGCGTTTTATGGCCAGGACTGCAAAGAACATTAGTTTCAAAAAAGAAATGAAAAGAAACCAAAACACACATCCTGCAATAACATTCAAAAGCCCGAGAATGAGTGGGCCATGGGGATGTCACACCCGACGGTCAGCGGGCCTGGTGCCCACGGCAGAAAGGGCCACTGAGCCACCGGTCATGATCCTGCCCCTGCGTCTGCATGAGGGGACCTGGGAGTGACCCACGGGAGGCCTGCTGACGCGGGCCCGTTGTGAAATGCAAAACGTGGGAAGGATCAACATGCTCACCAAATCCACTGGCCCGCTGGCCTCCTCCCCCTGGATGCCATTTACGCAACACTCCCCAGGTGCCAGCACCGGGAGGAAGCTTTCCAGAGAGGACATCTGAGGGCCGCCGCCCCGCAGCCCATGAGCGAGGTGCAGACGCTCAGGGAGGCTAAGGAGACAGCCATGCATAAGGCCAACACCGCGGCCCTGCCACACAACCAAGGGCAGCGTTTCACTCAAGATGCCCTTGGTCTTGACAAGGCACACGTCACCAGAGCCTAATTTCAGAGCCAACTGCTACTCTCTGGTGCGTCCATGTGTATTTTGGGATGCTAATTGTCCCTCGGGGCATTTTGCCTCCGTGCAGTCCGCAGACACAGAATCGCCCAGAAATGCCCGCACCTTCAGGAGAGTCCATAAGCCCAGCTTCGCCCGCTCAGCAGGACAAACACCATCTGAGTTTTGGCCCCCACTGCTTTCCATCTTTGCAGGCTCCTAGCAAACGCAGGCCCACCCCAGAATTTATGATGTCTGCACACGTGTAATTGCAAAAAAATGTTTTCTTACCAAAAGGGGGAGGAACAAAACTTAATAAGCAGATTTCCAGAGTGAGAAGATGTAACCCTGGCTACAAAACAAAGCATTTCCCCCTGGGCAGCTGTAGCTCGTGATGCGGCCGCATCCACACGGCTCACAGTCCTTCCTGCTGGTGCTGGCGGTGGCCGCGTGGAGGGGTGTGGAAGGGCAGAGGGCCTGGGAGGAGCCGGGGAGTGTGGGCACTGCTCCCCAGCTTTGGCAAAGGCAGATCTAGGAAAGTGCTTCACGTATGTTATATGGGAGCTGCCACTCACCCTGCTCTGTGCCTGGAAGCTGAGTGTGACAAGGATCTAAGGCAGTGATGGCGAACCTATGACACGTGTGTCAGAGGTGACATGGGAACTCATTTTTTTGGTTAATTTTTCTTTGTTAAATGGCATTTAAATATATAAAATAAATATCAAAAATATACATCTTTGTTTTACTATGGTTGCAAACATCAAAAAATTTCTATATGTGACATGGCACCAGAGTTAAGTTAGGGTTTTTCAAAATGCTGACTCGCCGAGCTCAAAAGGTTCGCCATCACTGATCTAAGGGAAGCAGAGCCTTGGACCGCTAGTGGAACACAGAGGGAAACCCGGGGACCAGACTCCCACATTAGCGCTCTGACCGCAGCACCAGGCCTGAGTGCAGATAGCGATAGGGTGGCTGCTTGCAGAACAGTCTGTGGGGGCCAGATGGGCAAGTTCGCTCACACGATGCCTGGGCACCGTCCCAGCTGCCCATGCAAACCAGGTCTTGGGTGCACAGTTCCCAGGGGGCCCGTCACACGCTGGCCCAGCTCCAGCCGCATCTAACTGTCTCTGCCTCCTTCATCAGGGGGACAAAGGTGCCATTGGGATGCCCGGACGTGTGGTGAGTTGGGGCACTTTTACCTGCTTGGGTGGCCATTGCTTGCTTCTCCACGCTGGCCTGTCCTCCAAATCGTGACAAGATGCTGCCTGCCCCAGCCAGAGGAGAGGGCAGGGGATTTGGACCTCTCCCTCCCCCCGCCCCACCCCGCCCAAGTCAGCTGCAGAGAGGGACGGGCCAGGAGGAGAGGAGTTTTATTTCAACCCTTCAGCTCTTCCAATGTGGCTTTACTCTCCAGAGAGCTGCCATGGCAAAGGGAAACTCCAAGAACAAGCATCACTAAAGCTCTTTGCGTGTCACCCTGGGAGGACAGGGTGAGGCCCGAACCCTTCTTGATAGTGTGAGGATTCCCACCCTCTCCACCCCCGAGGCTGGCAGCTCACCCTCAGATGTATAGCGGCTCCTGCTGCCGCCACCACCACCCCCAGCCCCCGGCAAGAGGAGCAAAAGACCCAGTGTGTGTGTGTGGGGGGGGGGGGGGGTGTCAGGGAGAGAAATGCAGCCGCCAGGTGCTCTCTGGACACCACGTGGAGCGGCTTCTGGAGGCATCGTCCCTAGACAGAGCCTAGAAGATGGTGAAGGCGGGGCTGCTCCAGGCAGTGCTTCCAAACCCTCACCAGGAGGCTGGGAGTCAAACACGTAACGGCTCCTGCTGAAAATTAGATGGCGAAAGGGAGACAGGAGTGTTTGACAGGGAGAGTGTTCGGGGTGGGGAGGCCGGCCCTGGGCCTGCAGGTCCCAGTGCTAGGACTTTCCTGGTGGCTTCCAGCCTCTGAGCGGCTAGGAAGGGCAGGACAGACTCGGGCTGGCAGCCCGGGGCCCTGATGACCATACCCGGCCTCACCACCACCCTGTCTGACCCCTAACTCTCCTCCTGCCATCAGCCTTGGCCTTCAGCCTGGCTCCCGGGTGCTCCCTGATTACCCCTCTGCCCTCCTTCCCTGTCACTCACGTGCTTCTCCTCATCGCCTCACCCCCCGGGCTGGTCGGCTGTGGGCCTGCGTATGGCATCCTTGTGCAAGTTTGCTTGCTGGTGGGAGCCTGGTGCCCAGAGCGAAGGCATCCACACCACAGCTAACACTGGAGAGTGCCCACTGCATGCGGGCGTTGTGCTAAGAGCCTCCGTGCATCGCTCACTCGGTCCTCACTAGAACCATAGGAGGTAGGCGCCGTTTCCACCCCCATTTTTTAGGTGAGGAAATTGAGGCTCAGATGTTGTGTCTTTCCCAAGGTCACATGGCCAGGAAGTGGCTGATCAGGGCTTTACTCCAGCAGCCTGACTCCAGACCTGTGCCCTTGACCCTGGCAATGCTACTTCCCCTCCCCAACACTGGCATCACGGCTCTAAGGAGGGTCTGATCCTTAGGGTGGCGCCTCAGGACCTAGGTCTAGGATCCAGGACGTTTCAGAGGGTCAGGACAAGTGGCGTTCCAGGTCACAGAGCTTTGAGCTCCCCAGGGCCCAGCCATGGGCGCTCCCCGCACCTCCCAGGCCACAGCACTGGCCCTGACTCCCTCCTTCCGTTCTCTGACTCCAGACATGAGTCCCCCAAGCTGCACTGGGTCCTGCTCTGAGGAGAGCAGGGAAAGGACATGAAGCCAGCCTTTCTCAGGGGCTTGCTGTTGGTGGGCCTAAGCCAGGCACAGTCTCCACTGTAGCCCTCCAAGAGGGATCCCACTTTATTAATGGGAATGTTGAGGTTCAGGCCAGGGCTGGGGTGGAGTTGGCTTTTGCACCCAAGCTGACGGTCAGACTCTAAACTCTTTGTGCCTAGCAGGTAAGCTTCGGAAACTCCACTCAGAGTGCAGCCACCAGGCTGCTGGGCAGATTGCCAATGAGAGCTGCCCCTCCTGCTGCCCCTCAGGGCCTGCCCCTCCTGCTGCCCTCCTGCCTTCTTTCTTGGGGCCTGTGGGCATGTTCCCCCAGACAGTATCTATCTGAGCCTAGTCCTGCCTACAGTGGTGGAACTGGAGGCAGAGCCACAGGAGGTCTCCCCATTTCCTTCCCCACAAAGCTATTTTCAAGCTGAGGGTTTCCTGCTGCTTGTGCTATTTTAAATGTGACAATGGGCCCATTTGGCTGCCCAGTAGTAGTCCTGGCAGGAGCCACCTGATAAGAACTGGGGTGGCCAGGAGGTGTGAAATGCCTGAGGGAGTTGTCCCATGGTTCACCAGGGGTGGCACCACTGGCTTCTAAGGATTAGGGTCCAGTGGGGTTGCCTATCCACTGGTCACTATGGTTACAGGGACCCTGGGCCATTACCCAGTTTCCTCTGCATCTCAGATCCATCCTCCATCCTCCCAGATGTGTGTGTCCTACTATCTGTCCTCCCATGTTGCTCCAACCCCTCACCTGCCATCTTACCTGGCCAGCCCTAAGGACTCCTGGTGTGTCTGCTGTGCTTGGTGCTCAGTTAGACCTTCACACCAACTAGATTCCACTCCACAACGCAGTCCCTGGGAAAGTCTCCCCATGGCCACCCAGATGGGCCATGACTTCTCAGGCAGATTTTCCAACCTGCGTGTTCTCTCTCTCTCTCTCTCTCTCTCTCTCTCTCTCTCTCTCTCTCTCTCTCTCTCTCACAAACACACACACACACACACACACACACCCCACACGCACGCACGCACACATGCACGCAGGCTTGGAGAAGGCCTCTGTTATCTGGAAGGGCTGGGCTGGCTGGGGCCAGACCAAGGGCTGAGGCAATAGCCATGCACACGCGGTGCTTGCCAGAGGCGGGACCTGTCATGTGTCAGCATCTGTGTTTTGTTTTATTTCTCATTTCACGGCGATTTCTTTTGTTTGGTTGTTGTGCCATTAACACAGATTCTTGTGTGTGCGCCTCTCTCATCCTTTCTTTTTCTCTCCCTCCCTCTCTCTCCCCTGCACCCTGTGTTGCATGTGGCTGCCCCAGGGAGTAAAGGGCCAACGAGGCGAGAAGGTGAGTCCACACTTTCCCCTCTGCCCTTCCGCCCGGGCCATTGCACCCACCCCGTGGACTCTTGGGGGCTTTCAGAGGCCCCAGCTCAGCCCTCCCGCTGGCATGCCCGGGGAGCAGAGCTGCCAGCTGGGCCTGTGGGCCCTCAGCCTCTCACGCCGTTTCCTAACAGCTTCCACACCGTCAGGCTGGGGCCTTGGGATTCCTGGGCTGAGCCCCAAGCCTCCTAGCGAGTGGGTCCTCCCCCCCCTCCCCCCGCCCCGCCTGCTGAGTTGCCTGTGCCGGTGCCTGCAGCTCTGACTCTGGGCCTTGGGCAGTCACCCTTCCCAGAGGCAGGGAGAGCTCGGCCCTGTTCTGAGTGCGGCCTCCTGCCCCCCTCCCAGCAGGCACTGCCTGGGTCCTTCTGTCAGAGCATCACCTCTCATCCCGTCTGCTCCATACACCTCCATCCTCCTTCTGTGCCCTCCCCACCACGCGGACCCCTCTGTGTCACCTGAGCCAGGACTAGGAAGGTCCAGGCAGCTCGGTCTCAGGCTCAGGGTGCTGGGCCCACAGGGCCAGTGTGTGTCGTGTCCCCCGCTCTGTTTCAGCAGCTCCATCCAGGGGGCAGGCTGCTGCCCCTCAGTTTCAGGGTGGGCAGCCCCATGGGTATTTGGGGATGGGGGTGGGGGTGGGGAAGAAAGCCGGGGGGCTGGACACTTGGGTGGGACAGGGGCAGGTCGAAGAGGTCCTGAGGAGGGCGGTGGGGAGAGGCTTCTGGGGCCTGAGCAGCCATGGCTGAGCTGTGCCCCTCCCTTCTCCCTCCCCTTTCCTCCTCCCCTTCCTCCCTCCCCCCCCCCCCCCCCCCCCCCCCCGTGCTGCCCTCTTGCCCACCACTGCACTGAATCCTCTTCTCCAATTTCTGGGCCTGGGCTCCTACCGCCCTCTTTCCTGGTCCCCACATCCTATGCTTTTGCTACATCTCCTCTTGCTTTGTCCCTCCCGCCCGCCCTCTGCTCTCCTCAAACGTTCCTGGATGCTTCCTCCATCCTGGGCCTCCTCTCCCCTGACCTCCCTCTTGCCGTGCATCCTCTGGCCCTTCTGTCCTCACCTTGGCATGCTCCTCCTTCCCCACCTGCCAGCCCCTTCCTCTGACTCTTCCCTTCCCACCCTCTCCCCTCCTGCCCCTGTGCCCGGCTCCCTCTCCCTCTCCCTCTCTGCTTTCTCTCTTCCACAGGGGGCCCCAGGAGATGCCGGGATGTCCATCATCGGGCCCCGAGGCCCCCCTGTGAGTGGTCTTTGCTTTTCTTGGGGGGTGGGGGGAGGATGGCGGGATGGGTGAGTTAATGAAAAGGGCTTGGGGTGGAGGCTTTGCCTCTGGGTGTGGAGACACCACATGTGACGCGGTTGCCAGGCCAGGCCTCAGGGCGGCTGTGGATGGTAGTGAGTGGTCTGACTAAATATACCTAAATTACAGCCTCTAGATTACGAAACTGCAGCAGCTGCCAGGTGGCCCTGCTGTTTCTAGCCAAAGGGGAGGACGTGCCCACTCCCACCGGGAGGGGGTGCTCCAGTTTCCAAGGCACAAGCCTGGTTCTGGGAGCCCCTGGAGAAAAATACCCACCCACAGAGTCCCTGATCCCACACCCACTGCTGTCCTGGGGAGGCCCGAGCCACCTCTCGCCCTCAGAGGCTCCCTTGTGCTTAGCCTGGTCCTGTGTCTTACTCCCTCCGCTCAGCGGCTGGGGCTGGGGAAGGTCAGAGAGGATTCCATGTAGATAAGCTCCCGTAGGGACCAGCGGGTGACGTGGTGCTGATGTGGGAAGATGCGGTGACTCTGGAGAGAAGGCCTGGCTGCTTTTCCAAAGAATGCCTGAGCCACGGGGCTGCCATAACATCACCAAACTGCCCTGGCCAGTGTTGCTCAGTGGTTGGAGCATCATCCGTACACCAAAGGGTCGCGGGTATGGTTCCTGGTCGGGCACATACCCAGGTTGTGGGTCCATCTCAGATCAGGGCACATACGGAAGGCAACCGATTGTTGTTTCTTTCTCACATTGATGCTTCTCTCCCTCTCCCTGTCTCTCTCTCTAAAATCAATCAAAATCACCAGCCGTCAGGGTGGAAAGGACCTCAGCAGTGGAAGGCACAGCCCTCTGAGAAGGGGCAACAGGTCCAGGGAGGGGAAGGGGCTTGGCCAGGGTCCCACACATAGAGGCTAGGGCAGGACTAGAACCCAGGACCCTGGCATCCAGGACTTCCACCACAGCAGCAGGCCACCCTCTCCATGTTCTGCTATGTCAGCAGTTCTCAACCTGTGAGTCGAGACCCCTTTGGGGGTCGAATGACCCTTTCACAAGGGTCACCTAAGACCATCGGAAAACACATATAATTACATATTGTTTTTGTGATTAATCTCTATGCTTTCATTATGTTCCATTTGTAACAATGAAATTGGGGGTCACCACAACATGAGGAACTGTATTAAAGGGTTGTGGCATTAGGAAGGTTGAGAACCACTGTGCTATGTGCTTTTCTTGACCTGCTATTTACAATGAGAGGGCGAGGGGAGCTGCACCTTCTACTCCGGTGACAGCTTCTGGGAGTCTGAGGCTATAGCCCCATGGATGGGGCAAGCTCAGCCTGCCACTCTCCTGCCTTCAATGGGGAGAGACAATAGAAAGCAGGAGTCTTCTCTTTTACCCACAGTCTAAGGAGAGGGGTCAGAGAGGAAACTGCGAGGTTAGGTCCAAGGGAGGGAATTGTGATGAGCTAAGCAGCCAGGGAGGGGCGATGGTGAGCGCTGGGAGCTGAGAGGTGGAGCCAGGCGGGCTGCCTGGAGCCTGGGTAGGTCAGACAGGCTGTCCCTGCTTCTATTTTCAGCAGCTCCATCCAGGGGTAGGCTGCTGTTCACAAGGAGACACCCTCATCAGGCCGATACACACGTTGCGTGTTTCGTGGTGTATTTATTCCATTAACATGTGTTGGGCACCTCCTGCATGCTAGGCAGGGCACACAAGGCAAACCTGGCTGCAGCTGCTGGCCCCTTGACAGGAGACCAGCAATGCCCTAGTGTTTACAATGCAGTCACTGCTCAGCCCGGGCGGTTAGGGAGCTGTGGGGACATGGAGGAGGCACCTGACCTGGGTGGGGGCAGGCCGGGAAGGCTCCTGGGAGGAAGGAATCACTAAATCCTGTGATTGGGGACGAGCAGAGGTGACTCGGGTACCGTCTGGGGAGGAGCCCTGAGTCCGGAGGCGGGATAGCTCCTTCTAAATGACTGGAGAAATGAGGAAGTTCCTTCCAGAGCAAAGCCAGGTGAGACCGGCAATGAGCAAGGCTGTGACCAGGAAGGACCGGGGCAGGGGCCATGCTGAGGAGTCGGACTTTCTCCTGAGGGCAGGCGAGAGCCCTGGGGCTGCGTTCAGCTGAGGAGGGACAAGATCAGATTTGCAGTTTAGAAAGATCTCCTGATGCCCCGCTTAGAAGAGGCCGCAGGTGGATGCCTGGCTGGAAGGCACCTGCAATAGTCAAGACCCGGACTGGAGCACAGTCCCTGGGGCTGGTGGGAGTGCGAGGCTGGAGAGATATTTTGGAGGTGGAATTGGCGGAACAAAATAAAAATGGGGATTGAGGGAGGAGGAGGCCGAGGTGATCTCGTATTTCTGACTTAGTAACAGAGTAGATGGGGTGCCTTCCCCGGAGGGAAGAGCAGATTTTGCTGGGAGAAGTGAGTTTAATCTGAGCATAATGAGTTGGAGATGTCCTTGCTTGCATCATCCCAAAGGGAGTGGCCCTCCGTTTGCAGCTGGAGTTCCCAGGGCTGGCGTTCTGAGCTGGCTCACACCCCTCCCAGTTCAGTGCCATCACACTGGGGGCTTGAAACCAGCCATGGTGGGAGCATTTACACCACAGACAGTTGCAAATGCTGTACAAGACAGGGTCTCCTCGCCACTCTCCCCCACCCCAGCCAGTTACCAGCACAGAGTCTATTTGAAAGGCAGCGCTGACTTGGAGAGAGGGACGTAAATGTGTCAGGCTCTGGGTAGAGCCACAGCCAAGCCTCTTTCAGGAGTCACATCGAAGAGAAGGGAGAGTCCTGGTAGCTCTTTCCAACCAGAACATCCTGCCTGTCCACGCGGTGTTAGCCTGCACAGGTTGCAGGTAGGAGGAAGGAACGGAGGAGTCGACAAGTGTAAGGTCCACTTCCCAACAGCGGGACCCACATGGCTCCTCTCCTCTCTGACCTCAAGTTAAGGGAAGAGATTTCAGAGGCCATGGAAAGCTTGCCCTCTTATTGTTCTTCTTTAGAAGGATATACTATTGAACCATAAATCCATCTACCAATCTATAATCCATAACTTTAATATGACCTGAATTCAAGTGAATTTATGTGTGTGTGTGTGTGTGTGTGTGTGTGTATACACATTTCAGAGAGGAAGGGAAAGGGAGAGAGAGAGAGAATCATTGATCAGCTGCCTCCTGCACTCTTCGCACTGGGGATTGAGCCCACAACCCAAGCACCCAAGCATGTGCCCTTGACCGGAATTGACCCGGGACCCTTCAGTCTGCAGGCAGATGCTCTATCCACTGAGCCAAACCAGCTAGGGCCAAGTTAATTTTTATGGGGTTGAGAGGCCAACAAAATAATATTCAATTCATTTGGAAAAAGGAAGCTTGTGAGGCTATCAGGAAAATTCTGATAAGTAGAGAAAGGGTAATAGTGCAGAGGGGACTGGTTGCTCTACTAGATATCAAAGTGTGTCATAAAAACAGAGCAAGTAGCACTGCACATGAAACAGAGGGGAGGCCAGAAATAAAGCCAAGTGCACCGGTAGGTTGGTCTGTGATAAAGGCTTGATTTCATAACAGAGAGAAACATCGATTGTTCAGAAAATGATGTTGGGCCAGTGGACAAGCCTCTTAGAAAAAAGGCCATTTAAAACTAACGAAAAAAGCTGAGTATCTGCCTCACTTGTTATATCAGCAAATTTCAAATGAATAAAATACTTAGATGCAAAACACAAAACCCTAAAATTCAAGGACAGAGCATGAGCAAACATTTTATCATTTTTTAAAAATATATTTCTATTGATTTCAGACAGGGAGAGAGAGATAGAAACATCAATGACGGGAGAATCATTGATCGGCTGCCTCGGGCATGAGCCCTGATCTCCTGGTTCATGAGCCACGATTAGCCACTGAGCCGTGCTGGCCTGTTCATGTTTAACTTGGGAAAGACCTTCAAAACACAACCTAAAACCCAGAAGCCACAAGAAACTGTTGTTTGACAAGATGGATAAGTTTGTCAACCTAAATGCAAAACTTCCATCTGGCACAAAGCAGTTCATTAGAAAGGCAAATGCCAATGGGAAGAATGCTTGCAGCGTAATTACCAAAGAGTCACTGTGCTTGACAAAGAGCTTTACTCAGATCAATGGGAAAAAAGACAAGCAACCTAGTCCAGTGGTTCTCAACCTTCCCAATGCCGCTGCCTTTTAAGACAGTTCCTCATGTTGTGGTGACCCCCCACCATAAAATTATTTTCGTTGCTACTTCATAACTGTAATTTTGCTACTGTTATGAATCGTCATGTAAATATCTGATATGCAGGATGTATTTTCATTGTTACAAATTGAACATAATTAAAGCATAGTGATTAATCACAAAAACAATATGTAATTATATATGTGTTTTCCGATGGTCTTAGGGGTCGCGACCCACAGGTTGAGAACCGCTGACCTAGTAGAAAATATTGGTAACGAATACAAACAGGCTGTTCACAAATAAATAGGGCCAGCAATAAACATCGGAAGAGCTGTCCAACCTCAGTGTAGAATTTGTTGTAAATGAAAATCCAGTTCCAAGCCTCTCCAAGTGCCTTCCCCAGAACTAACCTCTTCTGTAAGGAGAGTCCCAGTTTCCATTTGGTCAATGACAACATTCTTCCCAAGGTCCCTAAAAAGCCCTTGGTCAGCCCTGGATTTGGCTTTGGGTTGGAGAGACGCCTCCTGCTACCAGGCAGGCTCTGTCATTAGCGAACCATGTGATCGTCCCCACCATGTAAACATTAGCCCAAGTGGGACTTGAAGAGGCTTCTTGGAACCCTGTCCTCCTGACCTCTCCTTCCTCCTCTCGGCGTTCAGAGAAGCCCAAAGTTTACAGTGGGAGGTTTCAGAGGTCGCAGAGCACGGGTTCTGAGTTTTCTGCTTGCTGCTATTCTTAGCATCACTTATCCCTGAGAGGAGAGAAGCCAGGGCCCTTCTGATAGATGAAGGCTCGCCCTCCGGGATGCCTGCCAGAAGCCCGTCCTGAGCCTGCAGATGCGCCCTGCCTGGCTAGTGCACTCGCAGGGCCAGGGTCCACATCCCGCCAGCCATGCCTCCTGAGCAGAGGCTTCTGGACACTTGTGTCCACAGCTTCCAGGACGACCGGAGCAGCTTGTGATGTTTCAGGGCACAGCAGACGGGTCCGGAGAAATCTTCCGCTGGTAGGGTCTGGTTCTGAAGCTACTGTTTGGCAAGGACACGCCTCCTTGGGTCCTAAGAAGTATCAGGTGCAAAAGCAACCTAGGTGCCTCTAGAGTCAGTTCAACCCCACAATCGGCCGATGGTGTCAGCTGCCATTTCAAAGGGCTTCACAAACATAACTGAACGTGCTTCAATGTCCCTGTGGTTATACTGCTATCCCCATCCTCCAGATGAGGTCGCTGAGGCAGACAGAGGTTAGACCACTTGCTCAGAGTCACACACCATGGTTGGTGGAGGCAGCCAGGTTCAAGAGCTAAAACTTGGGAAGAGACTGTGGCCATCTCAGGTTGGCGAGGGGCGGGGGGGGCGCTCTAAGCTGAGAACTAAACACGGGAAAGAGGTGGTGTGTCTGGGGGAGGCAGGGTAGCCCGTTGCCTCCGTCGGTGGGGAGATGATGGAGGAAAGGACCTAGGATGGAAGATGCGGATGAGCTGAGGATGGCCATGAATGGCGTGTGGGTAGACAAGAGCCATTATCGGTCTTGAGAAGGAGAGCGACAGCACTGATGCGTCTTAGCTCTCTGTGACCCTTGACCTCCCGGTCAGCCCTCTTTCCACCCCCCACCCCCATCCCCAGCCCTGGATCTGCACAGCTTCATGCTGCTTCCCACCTGGCCGGGCACATCTCTGGTCCTAATGACTGACCATAAACCAGTGAACCTGCTTGTAGTCTCCAACTGAGTATCTATCTATTTCCTCTGAACCCCCAGGAGAGTGGGCACGAATTGATCCTGCAAAGATGGGGGTATCCAAAATTGCCCAACTAGAAGAGGCCTTCTAAGAGGGAAGTGAGCAAGCGCCCCTAGTCCGGCCTGAACACACACATCTCGGAAGCCAGGTTTCTGAACCCGCTGATAGCCAAGCTGTCCTTAGATAAGTGGCCGTGAGTCATGACCGTAAATAAAAGGACCTGGAAAACCACAGGTCAGGGGTTCAGCGCACACCAGCCGAGTCCCCGATGTCCTCGCTCTCCATCACCTGTTTATATGCTGAGGTTCAGGGTGTCCACAGCAGCGAGGCACTCAGGGGGCTTCTTCCCAGGAAGACCCAAAGGATGCTGGCCCTCTCCTCCGCCCCCCACCCCCAGCACTGGGAGGAGCCGCTACCTTTATCCCCTCCAACCCCCCCACCCCCCGAGCAGCCAGCTCAAGGTGGATGTTCGCAGAGGAGCGGGAGGACGCCCAGGCCCCTCTGGGAGCAAAGGTGAACCAGGGGGCTGAGGATTAGTTTCGTCTCCTCCTCACCATCCTCACTCCTCTCCATTCCTTTCAGGGCCAGCCGGGCACCCGAGGGTTTCCTGGATTCCCGGTAAGTGGGGAGAGCTGAGGTTGGCTGTGGCTCCGGGGATCCCTGGGCTTGGCTGGGTGACCTTCATGCGGGGCCAGCCCTGCCCTTCCGACCCCGGTCAATAGGACCCTCTCCTCCGGCCTTTCCCGAGAGCAGCCGAGGAGAGAGCGCAGTGCAAGTGAGGACCGGGAAATGGGCATGGAGAGGAGGGACGCAGGACGGAGCCGTGAGAGCAGTCACAGGCTGGCACACCCTGGGCCCTGGAGTGTGGCACAGATGATGCACTGCAGGGAGGCAGCCTCCATCCTGGAGGCAGTCAGGTGGCCGTCTGGATGCCCTGGGACCCCTCCTTGGGAGCCCAAGACAGACCCCAAGAGAGAGGGCAGAGGAGAGCTCTCTCCCACAGGCCCTGATGCCGGCCAGCCTGACTGCCTAGGACCACACTGCCCACACTCCACCGACCACACTCCAGCAGGCACAAGTCCGCCGGGCTGGGGCCGAGGCCTGTGTTAGCAATGGTGACGGCCCCAGCGGGTCCTGGTGCGGGGCATCTCCTAGGCAGCACCTCACTCACTCCTCACCAGGACCCTCGGTAGAAGGCCGATTAATCTGACCCCTTTTAGGCTGGGACACTGGCTTAGCCGTGGTCACATCACCAGTCAGTGGCCGAGCAGAGACTCGAACCTCAGCTGGTGGGGTCGTACCCACTGCCCAGGCGGCCTCTTCGGCAGGAGACCTGGCTGCTGGGCCTTCACATCTGTCCTCTTTCTGCTTTCAGGGTCCCATTGGGCTGGACGGCAAACCGGTGAGTAGACCCTCATGGGCCTCAGGCTCCTCGCCCTCACTTGGTCCCGGTCACTAACCTGGGGTCCCTTCGTCCTTCGGCAAGACCCCAATTCCTCGGAAAGAAGCTTTGGACAGAATGACCGTTCCTGGGGCAGGAAGTTGTCGCCGGTGGGAAGGGAGGAGGGGCCATTAGATTGGGTTACCCCTGACCCCAGGGGGCCTCCACCGGGCACAAGTCCACAGCCGCCAAGATGGGCCTTTGGCGTCTGGAGCGAGAGCCACCCTAGAATGTGGAGGTGCTGGGTGCTCCTGGAAGGGGGCTCGCTGGGAGGGCCCAACAACTAATTCTAAAGGAGCCTGGCACGTGCTCACACTGCTGCTCCCAGCACCGCCAGGGCACCTCCTGTGCCTCCCATCCTCCCGGGGCTCCATCTGGTGGACACACACACACACACACACACACACACACACACACACGTCCGAGACTGTACGGAGGCTGCTTCCCATCCTGACCTCTCCTGTCCATTTCAGTCTTTTGGCTTGAATGACACAAATGTTCACGGGGAAAGGAGACCCCTCCCTACTCTTAGGAAGGAGTGACCTGGGGACAGCTCAGCCTTCCAGCGCTCTCAGATGCCACCCACTCTCTCTCCCTGGGCAGCTGGCATCCTCTCAGATGAGGGGCCTGGCTGCCCGCCTGGTCACTCCCCTCTGCAGGCCAGAGCCAAGCTCCCGGTGACTGTGGTCATCTTGTCCACTCACCTCCCGGGACCTGGCGATGGAGGGAGGAGCCACGTGTGGCAGGGCAGGGGGGCTTCTGGGTTGCAAATAATATGCCGGACTCTCATGCTCTTCTCCTTCCAGGGCTACCCCGGACCCAAAGGAGAGATGGTAAGACCCCAGCTTTCCTGTCTTCCCTCAAGGGGTGGGGCATCAGCCCAGCACCGCCTGGCCAACGGGGCAACAGGGACGCGAAGTAGCAGCCACCACAATCACCACCACCCTCCGCTGTGTACGGTGCAGCCCCCTAGAGCCCCACGTCAGTGAAGGGAGGAGAGGTGGGCGGGGGCTTCTCCAGGTGAAAAATGGGGAAAGGGAGGCCCAGAGGGAATCCATGCTTGGCCAATGTCACACGGAGTTAGAGGTAGCGCTCCCTCGGGGATGAGCTTACATTCACCGCTCATCCTGGGGGTCTAGGGAGCCCTCCAGCACCTCATCCTTGGCCTGGTTTCCTCATGCCCGGCCTCCTCTGCCTGCTCCAGACTCTAGGCAGTCCTGCCCCTCTGGGCAAAAGCAGCCTCGGAGAAGGCATTGGAGGTCCCACCTTCCTCCAGCCCCTTCTGCCTCTGCAGAGCCTTCAACCAGAATTTCCCCTCTGTATGGTCTCCCTCCCCAGGCCGCTTCTTGCAGAAGGAAAAGGTCTGCCCCTGGCAGGAGCTGTCTGCTCTAGGAGAGGGGCCGGTTCTCAGAGGGACTGAGGGGCCGTTAGGAGCAGAGGGTCCAGCCCCGGCTGGGATCTGCCCTGCCTCCCGGGTTGGTCACATCTGCATTGTGAGCAGCCAGCTTCCGCGGCCAGGCCTGGGGCTTGTGCCAGGTGTGAGGGCAACAGGGCAGGCTCCTGTCTCCCTGCCCAGCGGGCTCAGGCTGGTACCTTGCTCCAAGTGCTAGGTGAGGACACTCTCCATCCACACCTGGGGCACTGCCAGGGCCTGGGAGGCCAGAACCCTGCCCACTGAGGGAGGCAGATCACCTCGTAGATGGAAACAAAGAGGGCGGGATGTCAGCTGGGAGGCCTGGGCTGCAGCCCCAGCTCTCCCTAACTTGCCATGGGACCCCTGCAACTCAGCTCCCTCGGACCTCAGCCTGTCCGCTTGACTTAGACTCAGATAACATTTATTGCGGGTTTTCTTCGTGGTGGCATGAAGCTAAGAACTGTACATACATTATCTCACTTAATCCTCAGCATGACCCTGTGCCAGGTGCTAGGGATACAGACAGGAATATGGGCGGCACTGTCCTTGCCATCCTTTAACTCCCCGTGTAATTGGGAGGCACACATTTAAATAATCCCTGATTTAATTAACAAATTGCCTAGGTAACTAGTGCCATGAAAAGGCAGCTCCTGTTACCCTGAGCAACCTCAGTACTACAGCACCTCACCCAGGCTGAGGGCCAGAGAGGTGTTCCTGAGGATTTAACTAAGAGAAAAGGGAATGGGAAGCACATGGAAAAACAGCTTGTGCAAAGGTCCTGAGGCAGGAAAGTCCTTAAAATATCCGGAAGAAGGGCAGTGCAATACTGGAGGTAGTGGATGGAAGACCTGGCGTTGGAACCCAGGTCCCCCAGCCAGCTTTCCTCTCCGTCCCAGCCATCTCCACTGCAAATGCGTTTCTTGTTGACCCCACCCTGTTCCTAAGAATGTTGTGCACATGTCTGAAGTAATGGGGACCGAGGCAGGAATAAACTTCCCTGTTACCATTGCGGTCGAGGCTTAAGGGGTTTGGATGCCAGGTGTTTGGGTCATTCCTTCCTGGTGGCCTGGCGCTACCATAATAGTCTTGGCATCAGGAAGTAGTCATGATGGTCATGAACTAGCACCGTTCTGTAATCTTCATAATGACTTACTATTCCCACTCTACAGAAGGGGAGCTCGAGGCAGAGTGCTTGAGTCTTTTGCCCAAGGCTATACAACTTCTCAGTAACAGAGCTGGGACGAAGACCCACGTGGGGAGATCCTACCCCCTCACCATGCCTCCTTTCTGCTGCCAGGACCCTTTGTCTCGAAGGAAAGGACCCTCCTATGGGGCTCCCCTCCCTGCCGTCGCTCTGCCCCACCCCAGTTAACCTGTCTGTTCAGAGGTCAGAGCTAATTTAGGGAAGGGTGGGGCCACGCATCTCTCTTAAGCCCACACGGGTGTGATAGATGCTTTATCTGCCTCGTAGTCATCCATCAAAATCCGACAGGCCACAGAGCTATTAGACTCCTGTTGGACTTGGCACAGGGACGCCAAGCTATTAATTCAATGCTCTGTCTGGTGTAATTATCTTGGTCTGCTTATCATCTGTCCGTCTCCTACTCACCTTCCTCCCCAGCTGGTTCTCCCTCTGCTGGGCCTCCAACACAGCGGGTGAGGCTCACCCTCACGTGCTTAACCCATGTCCTCACCTGTTAAAAGGCAGTCACCTCTGCCCCACCCACCTCATAGTAGCCCCAAGAACTTGCTGTAAGGTGTAGACAGGATCAGGGTCCCACTGGTGCCCTAAAGGAAAGTCGGGACTCTTGAACTCACAGGGCTGTCTAAGGGTGGGAAGGGTTAATTCCCACCAAGTGCTGAGAACAGTGCCTGGCACACAGGAGACACCACAAGCACCTTAGCCAGCACGTCACCCGTGACCTGCCTTCAAGGGGCAGCTGCTTTCAGCTGGAGCTAACGGGTGTCATGTGTCATTGGACCTTGAAATTTTTAAAAGAAACTTGAAATCCAGGTTTTTGTTGTGCTCTCCTTGCTCTTAAATGTTGGCAATTAAGTGAAATAAAACTGTGTAGGATCAACCAAATACCTCTGCCCCATGGACCACCATGTGGGGTGTCTGGACTCACTCCTGCGAGCCTGTGTAATCCCGAACCTTTGTTTGTTTCCTGGCCCCTGGCCCTCCCTCTCCCATCTAGCTCCTCTCTCTGGCCTGGTCACTTGCAGTCTGGTTCCTGCCAGATGCATCATATTCTGCGGCTCTTGATACTAAACACTTGGTCAGCCATATGGGCTGGGGTGCCACATGGATTGCCCTAAAGGCCATTTGTCTCCCCTTATGAACCTGGGACTTCCCCAGTCTGCTGGTTGGTCCCGTTGGCCAGCCAGGGGCAAGAGAAGGCTCATGTCCCACCCAGAAGGACTGTCCTGGGAATCATGAGCTCGTCAAGCCCCAAAGAGATGGGCCCAGCGGGTGGGTTCCACAGGCCCTGAGATGGTGGCCGGAAGGGACCTCAGGCCCCAGTAGCCGGGGCACTGCCTGGGCTCAGCCACATCTAAAAGCCCAGGCCCTGCCTCCCGAGGTCCAGCCCAGTTCAGAGAGCGTGGCAGAGCGGAAACAGCTGGACCCGGATGGTCAGACAGACTTGGACTCACGTCCCAATGCCACCCCATGCCGAGCCATGTCTCCCTCGCCTGGTCTGGGAGATGGAGCTGACGTGAGCACCTTTCTCACGGGCTGGGCCGGGGGAGCGGGGTGTGAGCTCAGCATGTACTGAAAGCCAGCCTCAGGGTGGGTCCTCAACGCCGGTAGTGCTTGTCCGCCCCACTCCCTCCATGCCAGCCGTGAGGCCTCCACACGGGCTCCGCTCAGGCCCCTGAACGAGCCAGCTAGACGCTGTGTCTCAGAGAACGTGGGTCCACCCTGAGCCCAGGCGCCTTTCTCAGCCCTGAGGCTTTGACAAGATATCCTGGAAGGAAACCCCAAGGTCCCTTATGTTCCAAGGGGCCCAGGACCTGGCTTAAGTCGTCAACTTCCTGCTTCCTCTCTTTGGCCAGAGATTCCTCCAAAGCCATGAGACAGATGGGCGTGAGTGAGGCAGGCGTCACATGCAAACGCAGCCTCCTTGCTAGCCAGGGGCCCAGAGATGACGGTGGGAGGCATGAATGAGGACGGCATCTGTTCTCGGCCATGCAGGTGGGGACAGGGCACAGCTAGCCGTGCCCACGGGCAGATGAAGATGCTGAGATGTGGGGTACAGGCCACACCCCCAGAGCATCTCGGCACGGGAAGACCAGGCGTGGGTGTGGGGGTGGGGGGGCAGCCCTGGCGACCCGGGCATTCTGAGAAGCGCCGGGAAACCCAGCTTCTAGCACAACCCCTGCCTGGGCCGCCGCCTCCGGCCTGCCTGCCTCCTGTGTGCCCACTGACCTGTGTGTTTCCTCCCCACAGGGCCTGGCGGGTCCCCGAGGACAGCCGGTTGGTACCTCACCCCAATGTCCCCCCGCAGAGAGGCTTTGGGCCGCTGTGTTTTCAGCTTTAGTTTCTAACGCTCTCCTCTCCATCTCTTCATAGGGGCCCCAAGGAGAAAAAGGAGAAAAGGTAAGCCCGCTGGAGGTTTTCTAGAATTTTCATCTTAGGTGGGGCACATATAAAAAAAAAAAAAAAAAAAAAAAGCAGGTAGGAAGGGGTCCAGAGTGGTTATTTTTAAACTTTAGTTCTTATCAGAAAGAGGGGGACCCCATGGTTCCTGGTATAGAAGAGAGAAAAGGGAAGCTGCTCTGGCTCCTGCTCTGTTCTTGGGGTCGGGGAAGGGAGGTCGGCACTGGCCCTGAAGCCTGGCGCTCCTCAGCCTCTCTCAGCCCCTCCCGCCTGCCACCCCCACATGTCTCCTGGCCCACTTCCAGGAGCTGCTGGGATTTTGAGGTGTCAGTATGTAAACCAGTAGCCTGGCCCCTGCCTGGCCCCCTACATTTACTCTCCAAATTTCTGATGGAGATTCTGTGGGGCTTGCCCAGGCGGATGGCACAGGGACCTGGCACCCCCAGCTCAGAGAAGGCATCTCCGAGGTGTCAGGGCAGGTGGTACACGGCAGTGGAGTCCTGCTCCAGGCTCCATGGGGCCACATCCAGGCAGGCCCCAGGGTTTCTTCCATGCTGCCAGTCGGGGTGGGATGAGGAGGGGAGGGGGGTTAGTTCTCCGACCTCAGAGAGCTCAGTCCAGGACTAGAGGGGGTCTGGTGGGTGATGAGTGTGCGTGGTATGTACAAGCCCTGAGGTGCCCCTGACGGACAGCCACCAGCCAGTGCCTAACACCCTCCTCTCCTTCCCCTCCCCTCAGGGTCAGTGTGGAGAGTACCCGCACCGGGTAAGTGAACCCCTAAAACTGATCAGCCTCATCTCCCTGGGCCCCCAGCACCTACAGAGCTTGGGAACAGGAGCATACCCCCTGCGGTCAGCAGCCGGAGTGGGGCCCTGGGTAGCCGTGTGTTTGCCTGGCCCGGGAGTGTGCCTGTGGTCAGTGTGAGTTTGTGCAGAGCGGTCTCCAGCTTGTGTCCGTCCATCCGTGCGTGTCTGTGTATCTGCCCTGCGCTGTCCAGGCTGCGAGTCTCCCAGCAGGTGTGTATCTGTGACTCCGAGTGCCAGCTGCTCCCCTCTGCACATCGCCGCCTCCGAAAGGCCGTGTGGCTGTGCGAGTCTGTGTGTCTGTGTGCGTGTGACTGCGTGTATGTCTGGCTGCCTTCCTGGCCGCATCAGAGGGACTTTTGGGTTAGTCATTGTTTCAGATGACCCAGACTCAATGGGAGGAGCTAGCTGGGGGCGGATTGTACAATTCCAGGGTGAAGTCTCCGCTTTGCCTCTTGAAGAAGCGGTGCTGGGCTCTTTACAAGCAGAGTGGGAATTTGGGGGCTGAGGTGGTCTGCCACTCCCCCACCCCACCAGCTCCTTCCTTTCCCGGGCTCTCCCTCAGGCTGCACAGCCCAAAGCCTGCAGAGTGCACCAGCCGCCTGCAGAGCCGTTCTAGAGGCAGGAGGGCTAAGGTGTGCATGGCTTCCTCCAGTGAGAGGCCCAGAGACCTGGAAAATGCCCCTCATTTTCTAGATCAGCCTCGCCACTCTCAGACCTGGGTAGGCATCTTTAGGTGCCATTCCCCTGTCCTTAGCCTCATGGTACCCAGAAACACACACACGGTGTGGCTCACTGGTCGCCCACCTGTTGGGCAGGGGATGAGGGAGTGGAGACAAGCACAAGCCAGACTCGAGTGCACCAGGCTCCACAGGGCCACCAGGAGGGCCTTGCTAGCAGGGTCCTGCCCATCAGACTCTTGCCCCTGGATTCCTGGGCCAGGAAGAGGCACGGGGAGCCTTGAACATGAGTAGCAGGATTGGCATGGAGGCCAAGGTTGGGCTGGGCCTGGGCAGGGGCTGCAAGCCAGCAGCCGTGTGGACAGAGCCAGCCTGTCAGTGGCATGTGCTCCAGGGACGCAGGGGCCCTGGTGTTCCGGCCAGCCTGATCCTGATACAATAATAGAAGGTCAGCTGCATTTATTTGGAACGATGGGCTCACAGGATTGTCATGCTGCCTGAAAGAAAGACAGCTTCCCCCTGCACCAAAGACAACACAACTGCGGGAGCTTTGGGAGTGTCTCGTCAGACCTGGGCGAACGCACGAGGGTGGGGGTAGGAGAGGGCTCTCTGCCCCTAAACCCAGTGTAAGAGGAGGGAGAGGGCAGGGACAGAAGGCTCCAGAGGCACCTTGGCCACTGGGTGCAGCAAAACATAGCATTACGACCGTGGCAGTGTGGGGTCCAGGTCAGGCAGGGGTGAGAGTGGAGTGGGGAGTGGCACTTGCTGCTTATTTGGAAGTGGGTAGGAAAGCAGGGGGCTTCTAGGGCAAGTGGTTGATTGGGGGGTTGCGGGCATGGTGGGAGGCAGGCCGCCACATCCACAAGATGCCAAGGGATCCAGGCTGGTCGCTGCCTCTGTTGCAGCCTGCAGCACCTGCAGGGAGGGGAGCAGGGGCAGAAGGTCGGGATGGAGTCTCCTGGGACGGGGAGCGGGGGAGCGGGGGAGCGGGGGAGCGGGGGAGCGGGGGAGCGGGGGAGCGGTGTCTGCGGCCCCGGCACTCACTCTGCCTCCGGCCCTATCTCACCGCCTCCATTGCCCTTCCCTCTCAGGAGTACCTAAGCGGCTCTCTAGCAGCTCTGCACTCCAACCAGATAATTACCCTGAAGGTTTGTAGGCTCTCTTCCGGGCGGCCTCTGGCCCCGCTCTGCTGAGAGGCTCCTGGACTCAGAGGCCAACATTGCACGTCCTCAGGCCCCTGGTGGGAGGGGGCAGGGCTCTGGGTGCAGCAGCTGCCCCGGGAAGGCGGCCATGACCTAGAAAGGCCATGATTAGGCACCCCTGCCCCCAGCTGGGCACATTCTCAGCCCAGGTGGCCTCTGGTTCTTAACACTCATCCCAGGGGCCTCGTGTGACTTAAAGTGCTTTCCAAACAAAAGGTTGGTTAGATGCCATCTTTGTTTTCACTTGGGCCTAGCCACTTCCTAGAGCCGCTGGGTGCTCAGCTGCATGGGTAGAGAGATTGAAAGCAGCAAGATTGTCCAGAAATGAAAGTCACATGCAATACTGTGGTGGCAAGCTGCCTCTCCCAAACAAGTGGTTGGACATCCTTGCCCAGCCTCTATTTTCCAAGCCGGCCAGCCCCAGGGTGAGACCTGGGTAGCACTTATCTTGTGCCCACACTGGCCACACCCTTGGTCGGTTCAGCCCCCGGGAACCGGGCTTGGCACTGCCCTCGACCACCTCCCCAGATTCGCTGACATCGGCCTTTCTCATTCAACCAAAAAGAGCACCCAGAGGCAGCCACACACCAGCCTGGCTGCAAGTACCAATTTAGCTGGTCCTGTGGCTCCTACTTAACCAGAGCCTCTGAGTCTCCCGCCCTCAGCCCAGCAGCCCTTGTCCACCACCAGGAATGCCAGCAGTGCAATGTTGGGTTGTGTGTCAGGCGGCTTTTTCGGCCCAATGTGGCCACCGAGGGCCGGCCCAGGCAAGGAGGACCGCTCTCCCTGTTGGGGGATGCTGCTGGCCAACACCCCAAGGGCCGCTCCTCCTTTAAGGGACGGTGTACCCTCCAAGGGCAAGCTCAGCACTGCGTCCCCTAAGCCTCGGGAGTGCTGGGTCCGTGCCTCCCCTCCCTGTGCCTCACACTCGCTAATCTCTCTTCTCTCTATCTCTCCTCCGTTCCCTCTTGGCCGCCCTGCCTTCCTGGTGACTTTTGGCATCCTCCTGAACACCTGCGACCTTTGGCCTTTGCCCTCTGGCCTTCCAACTCATCTCTCTCCTCAGCTGCTGCCTCTCCTCAATTCAGTGCGACTGGCTCCACCCCCAGTCATTAAAAGGCGGACCTTCCAGGTAGACCATCTCCCTTTGCCCAGTCCTCCTGGGGCCTCCCGGGGCTCTGCAAGTCTCTGGGCCTGAGAGGCCAGCGGGGGGTGCAGACGAAGACAGAACCTCACTGTCTTTTGGTTAAATTACACCAGACAAGAATGGACCGGTCAATGCCATAGACCCAGAGACACACACCACCCGGCCCAGCAGACCCCCAGCTCCTACTGCCCAATACTACCCACAGGAGCCGCCACCACAGCCGTCAGTGCTGCCAGCCACCCCGTCCCACATGCTGCAGGCCTGACTCCACGTCAGCCGCTCAACACTTTCCTGCCCCGGGCGTGGTCACCCTTATTTCTCAGATGAGGAAGTCAGGGCTCAGAGGCGTTAAGTGAGTTGGCCAGCACCACACAGTACATGGCAGGGCACCCAGGCTCTCTGTCTCTTACCAGCTCTGCGATTTGGGGCAAGTTACTTAGCCTTTCTGTGCCTCGGCTTTCGCATTTGTAAAATGAAGCTAATAACAGTTCCCACTGCCTCAGGTCGCTGGGCATACAAAGTACTTAGACTAGTTCCTAGCACAGTTTCATTGCTAGGTTACAGTGAGGCTCAGAGAGAAGGGAATTTGTTCCCCAAACAGCAAGAGGCAGGATGGGAATTAGCAGCAGATCTTCAGACCCCCCCACCCACCCAGGGCTCTTTCCGTCGGCCCTACACCCTTTATATTTAGAAATGCAGATTGCTTAGCATCTGATCACTTGTAACCTGAGTTTGAGGAGGGAGGGAGTTTGCAGAGGGAATGTAGCCCACAATCAACAGGTGTAATCACTGTGGACAACGGGATTCCTTCTTCCTGCCTTACCAACCCAATGAGGCTGGGGAGGACCAGGTCACACAGAACAAGAGACCTCAGACCCAGGGTTCAGGCTAAGGCACTGCAGCTCGATTCCAGGCCAGGCAGCCCGCGGCTGCCACCCACACCCCTAGCCTTCCTTACACTGCGCAGGGGGTACCCCCAAGGCCACAGGGATGCTGGGAGGGACAGGGCTCAGAGATGCTCTCTGTGAGCCTGACAGCATGGCCTGGCGCCACCATCTGCCCTGACTCAGGAGTCCAGAGGCCTGCATGTCAGGCACCTGATAGAACAAGGCTGAAAAAATCGCTCCAATTAACAACTAAAAATACAGAGGGACACGTGATGGGTGTGTCACCCGAGCCTGTGTATCCCCTTACACCAGCCAAACCCTCGAGAGCCTCCATGTGTTCCGAGTGCTTACCCCAAGCATGGCTCTTCGGGGGGCCCGCTGGCAGCTCAGAGAAGCACCCGGCCCGCCCCACTGTCACCCACCCCCACCCGTGCCAGACCCCACCCCAGGAGAGCCGAGCCCTTGCTCTCAGAGCGGCCATTCACCTCAACCCAAGCGGCCTCCTCCGGGCCTCAGCTGCCTTAGCTGCTACTTGTGGAGCCCTCGCTGGCTCCAGGCACTGTCGTAAGAATTCTCCGTAGATCATCTCATGTAATCCCACACCGGCCGCCGCCCGTGGCAGTCCAACCGTCATCATCCCCACCTTTCAGATAAAGAAATCGGGAGGGGCCCAGGCATGGTACTGCCTCCCTTTTCCAGAGCAAGGGGTGGGCGAGCCAGAACTCTCTGTGCTGCCCTGGCCCGGTTTCCAAAGCAGAGAGAGAGGGGTAGTGGCCCCTGTTCTGCCTGCTGCGGCTTCGGCCTGTCAGCCAAGGTGGGACATAAAAAGGTTTGTCCCCTTCCTATCAATAAACCAATATTGATTTGACAGGCTCTGTATGATACTTAAATACTGGGCCTAATATTAGTCGAAACAGGACACTTTATAAGAGAGACGATGTGCTTAGCAGACGGTGTTGGACGTCACTTCCCACATGTAGAAAGTTGGCGGTGAGCAGTGTTTGCTGGGGGCTTATTTGGAATGAATAGGAATAGTCTGGAGTTCCGAGTTGGGGTCCTGCCTTCCCCCTGAATTCGCATGTGACCTTGATCAGGGAACTCAACCTCCCTGAGCCTGTTTTCTGTAAAGTGGGACCTGTGACCCTTTCCTGCACCTGCCTCCTCCACCGGGAGCACTCCGTGCCCTCACGCAGCTTCCCGGGGTGTGGCAGGATGAAGCCCGGGGCCCAGAGTAGCTCTGCCGGGTGCCACCTGCCCTAGGGTGTCCCAGCCAAGAGATGGCTCAAGCAGGTGCTGCTAAAACAGTGGTTCTCAACCTTCTGGCCCTTTAAATACCGTTCCTCATGCTGTGACCCAACCATAAAATTATTTTCGTTGCTACTTCATAACTGTAATGTTGCTACTGTTATGAATCGTCATGTAAATATCTGATATACAGGATGGTCTTAGGCGACCCCTGTGAAAGGGTCGTTCAACCGCCAAAGGGGTCGCGACCCACAGGTTGAGAACCGCTGTGCTAAAATCTGACAGTTCTCCTCCTGCGTTTGTGCACTCCTGTTTACAATCATCATTTCCCGCTGTAGAGACTGCAGGAAGCATCATCAGCTCCCCTTTTATACCGGGAAGCAGGAATCAGACAGGCTTGCTGAGATCCCTCTGAGCAGGGTGGGCGGGCCTGGAACTCAGGCTGCCTGCGTCCCCTGCAGCCCAGCCTGGAGCTCCCACACCTGCCGGGCTGTTCTGTGTTAGTCTGGCTGCAGGGTGGGCCCCTTGTCACAAGACCTGAGCCAAGAGCATCCCTGGAGCGCTGGCTTAGGATAAGTCTGACCGGTCCCCAGCCCCAGGCTCTCTCTCCTCCTGAGGGAACATGAAGCTGCCCCTGCCTCCCAGGCCCTCATCCATCCTCATGCAACTGGAGAACTCATGCCCCACCTGAAGGGGGCGCCGTTCCTCGACCCAGGCCATGATTGCCCCCAGGAATGTGGGCCTAGCTGCCAGGGCTCCCAGTTTTTCATCAGAGCCCATCAATCCAATTCTTTTACTTAAAATCTCTTGCCCAATTGATGAGTGAGCCCAACAAAAGTCTATGGCCTCTGACCTAAGGATCGGATTTGATGCTCTGGGCCAGATCATCCAAAATGGCAAAGAGCTGCCTTAGGAAAGGAGGGACCGCTGTTCTCATTCGGCGGCTGAGAGGCCAAGATGCAGAAAGAGGACGTAGCTTGCCACACGGCAGGAGCGGAGGCAGGCCTCGGTCCCAGACTGCCTAGGCCCTAGGGGACTCTGGCGCCCTGGCCAGGCTGGGAGCAGACCTTCCACCGGGGGTCACCTCACTCACCCCTCTGCCTCTGCCACCGCAGCAGGGCTGTCACACTGGGAACAGCAAGTCCTCTCTGGAAGCCCCTCCTCTTGGGGGCCCAATGTCTTGGCCGTCTCCTTGCTGCCACAGTCCCTGCATGTAGCCACCTCTGCAGCAACCTCGCCATCACGCCACCACCGCAGCAGCCTCCCCATCACACCACCTCCGCCTCCCCACCAGAGCCCGCACAGGCCTTCACCGGGTGCATGGCACTGGGGCGGGAGCCGCTCTACAGCCTGGGGTCTCTCTCTAACACTCGTTTCCATGAATCTCAGGGTGAACAGGGCCAGGCCGGTATCCAAGGCCCACCAGGGCCTCCAGGCCCCCCTGGACCAAGTGGACCCCTGGGGCATCCGGGACTGCCAGGGCCCATGGGGCCACCTGTGAGTACCCCCTCCCTCTCTCCACGGCCCCCTCTCCCAAGGTTTGTTCTAAGAAGTCTCTGGAAGCATCCAAACTTTGCATAACCAACAGGAACCTGTGTCCCAGCCGAATGGCCAAAGGATCTTGGCAAGGCCATCGCACATGGGTGACCCATGCAAGGAGCTTGCCCATCCCTCCCACACGCACCTGCCGCACTCTGGTTCTGAAAACACACCTCCTGGGGCCATGTCCTCAACTCCAGCCATTGCTTTCTAGGGCGGAAGTCACTAACAGGCTACCCCCAGCCCTGCAGAAAGGGAAAAACGCCTCCAGGGCCACCTCTGGTGCCATTCCCTGACCCCTGGGCTTAGGAGAACCTGAGTTGGGCCCAGTGAGTTCTGACGGAGGGTTGTCCCACCGGCTGGCGCCCCTAACGCACATGCCTTTCCTGGTGTGTGCAGGTTTCCCACTGCTAAGCCACCGCCTGGATGCCAGGTCGGCCAGGGGTCCCTGCATCGAGCCTGAGGACTGGCAGCGGCCCAGGGGGGCTAGCAGGCACCCCACCTCCAGGCAAGACCACACACAGGTGGCTATTTAAGCCCAGTGGCCACCAAGTCACCCATTCCCAAGTCCTGGGTCTCTCTCAACTCAATTTAGTGTAAGAAAGCAGCAGGGCAGGAGAACAACCCAGCAGGCATCTGGACTTCTTTGGAGAAAATGGGTTCTCAATCCAGAGCTAAGACTAATGGCATCTGTTACTGGAGGGACAGGGTGAAGGACAAAGTCTGCTTAATAGTGTTTTCCCATGTGGCTAACACACAGACAAACCTGGGTTTCTTTCTTATGACTGAAACCTCATACATTCATCAGGAAACGTTTGGGATATAGGCAAAGAAAAGGTTTTCCATGGTCTCTTTTCCCATATTCAGAGTTCAGCATCATTCCCATTTTGGAGAGTCCTTCCATGTTCCTCCTTAGATATATCTTCACCCGAACATTTCCAGGTTGATAATGTTCTGACTGATACAGCAGTTTGTACCCTGTTACTTTCCCATTTGCCAGCATAAGCACGCCCTTTCCCACATCAGGCGTCTCCCAGGACATGGCTCTTAGGGCTGCCGGGCCTACTGAGAGAGCAGTAATGAGTCCCTTCGGCGCTCGGTCTCCTTGAACATGAATGCCTGCACACCTGATTGTCACTGGGAAGGAGCCCCCAGGAGAAATTGCTGAGTCACGACCTCCCTGCCAAATGGCCCTCAATGAGCACAGTCGCACCCGGGTCTCTTGGCTTCACCCCTAGCCCCTCAGCCGCCCCAGCTGCCCATGCTGAGGCTCAGTGTGGGCTCCCCTGGGCTGGGCGACAGCACCGGCTGAGCGGCACCCGGCTTGGCCGGAAGGGGGCACAGCCATGTGGAACTAGCTTGCTGGGGGCTTGGCTCTCCTGCCCAGTTTGACCCCCTGCACGGATTTTAAATTTTTCCATCATTTCTCCCAGGACCTCAAGGAAGGAGATTAGTCTCACTTTCATGGGTTTCTAGATGGGAAAATGGAAAACCTGAAAGGAAGTGAAATTTAGGGAACTGAACCAAACCAATCTGGGAAAACCAAAGAAGTGCTCAAAACCCACTGGCTGCCCTCCCCAAACACATTGGGCTCCCACTCCCTGAACCCCAGCCAGATGTTTTCTTTGTTAGGTTTTTTTAAAAAAAGAAAAAAAAACAGAGTGTGTTTTTAAACCAAGTGAAACAGCCCAGACTCCGGCATCAGGGTTTTCTGAAGCCCGTGTTTGCCATCCAGACCGGCTCCCACCACCGTGTGGAGACAGCACCTCTTCCCTCGACTCTCCCTCGGGCTCCTGCAGGCCCTGGGCCCGCGCCACCTCCCCACTGCGGGCTGCCATGGTCACAGCGCCCGGTGGGACGGAGACGAAGTGCTCCCCCGCAGGCTGGCAGGGCCAAAGGCAAAATCATGACTGCTGGGCAAGGCCGGCTTTCCAGGGAGGGGTCCCAATTAGGAGGTGGGCGGGTGGGGATCTGGACCAAACCACACTGTCGACTTAACATGATGCCACTGACCTATTTTCCAGTGGGCAAGCCCAGAGAAGATGCCCACGGCGCCACATGGCTCCGGAGAGGGACACCAGCCTGGTGTCCCCATGTGCCCTCGGCAGGTTTCAGACACCCTCCCAGGAGCCTCTGATCTGTTCTCTAGCACATCCAGAGCCCTTAGAGCTCTTCAAGCACCACTCCGCCCCAGCATCCCCTGTAAACATGACCAACCTCAACTGTTTACCTGTGGAACCCACCTCCACTCACCTTTCTCTTGCTTCCGCAGGGCTTTCCTGGGCCTCCTGGACCGAAGGTGAGGGCCCTTCGGGGTGCCACACTGAGCGGGTGGGAGAATTCCCTACAGGAGGAGGGGCAGGCAGTACTGAAGGGTTCTGCGTAGGAGCTGAGAGGGAGCTGAGCTGAGAGATGGATCAGGCTTGGCTCACTTCCAAACCACTGCCCCCCTGGGAACTGGTTGGGTCCCGCAAGGATGGACCATTTGTGTGCTCGGCTGACCAAGTCCTATGGCTGGTCCCACCTCCAAGGAGCTTACAGTCTGGTTGGAAACTCAGGGTTGATGCCCAGGACACTGTCGCAACATCCCAATAAAAGTGTTTCATAAGGGGTCAGACTGGAGGGACCTTCAGGTTCATCTGGTCTCTTCTGAAACCTTATCTGGGAGCTCATGATGTCCAACAGACTCTCCCTCTGAAGCAGGGAACCTCAGCCTCTGAGGATGAGAAGCTGCGAAGCCCAACCATTTTACAAATGATGCTGAAGGCCCGGGGCAAAGTGACGGGTCCAAGTTTTCAACAGGGAATCAGTGGTGGAACCAAAACTGAAACTCAGGTCTCCTGCCAAGTTGACTTGTTCTGAGGAGCAGAACAGCCTCTGATATTGTTCCAGGGTTGGCTGCGCGTGGAGGTCGGAGGATTTAGACGTGGGGAGGAAGAGGGAGGAAGAGGGGAGCAGCAGGAGCTGAGGTTGGGCATTAGGAAAACCCCTCTCACCATCTTCTCTTTGTCTCTCCCCCCGCCTCCAGGGAGACCCAGGGATCCAGGGCTACCATGGCCGGAAGGTAAGAAGTGGAGGGAGGGGAAGACCTCACCCCACAGCAGTAACTCAAGTGGGATCTCACCATGGTGCACACACGCATAATTTTGCACAAACACTCACCCAGCGTGAGCTTCGTAATGCGTGTGAGGTTGGCTGGACAGAGGTCATGTCTCCACTCGGGGAAGCAGGAGGCTGAGGAGGGGACAGGGCCTTGGGAAAATCAGTGGTCCGGCTGGACCTCTGACCCAGAAGGGTCTCCCCCGCCAACCGGGTGTCGGAATCTGTACCCAGGCGCCTCGGGCTCTCCAGGCAGAGGTCTGTGTTGAGCAGGGTTGGGGAGATGGAGTAGGGTCCCAGCCCCGCTCTCTGGCAGCTCACAGGCCAGAGAGATGGGATTCCTGCACCAATAACCCTGGTGAAGGTTGTCTGTGCTGGTTGCTGCCATCACAAAGCGCTGTGAATACAGGGTGGTGGAGAGATTACGTCCAGGCTGGCAGGAGTTGGGAAGTCTTCTGGGAGGTGACAATCTATGAGCTCAGTCCTGGTGAATGGGTAGGTTAGCCATTGCTGTGTAACAAACCATCCCAAACGTACTGGCTTGAAATGGCGATTTCTTTCTCATGATTCTGTGGATTGGCCATCTGAGGGTACCGCTGGTCTCCCCTGGGCTCATTCACACATCCACACTGCGTGACGGATGGAAAGGCCAAGACGGCCGCCTCCACACGTCTGGTGATTGGCGCTGGCTGTGGGCGGGGTGCCTCTGTTCTCCCTCCACTGGCATCTCAGCCCCCCAGTGGACTAGACAGGTTTCCTTACAGTGCAGCAGGCCCAGGGCAGTGTTCAAAATGGGCGAGTCCCGGTGCACTGGCATCACATTATCTGATGTCCTATTGATCAGAGCAAGTCCCATGGCCAAGTCATGTGGGCGGCGGGAGGGGACTCAGCTTCCGCTTCTTCTTGGGGGAGGAGTGGCAAAGCATCTGTGGCCATTTTCAATCCCCACTGTGGTCCTTCAATCAGCAAATTTCAAGGGAAATGGCATTTTAGACAGGGAAACTATTTGAACCAAGGCCCAGTGGTGGTCTTTACAGTAACTATGAAAACAAAAATAACCTTAATAAAAGTCACCACTTACCGAATGCCCGCCATGTTGCCAGGCTGTTCTTCAATGTGACCTGCATCATTTTGGTCCTAAAACCTCCCTATGAGGCTGCATGCCCAGGTCTGGGCCCTTCTCATGCTACCACCTGCTACATGGAGCCCATCCGGCCTGCAGACCCTGGCTGGGAAGCCTCTATAGCAGTGGTTCTCAACCTTCTGGCCCTTTAAATACAGTTCCTCATGTTGTGACCCAACCATAAAGTTATTTTCGTTGCTACTTCATAACTGTAATGTTGCTACTGTTATGAATCATAATGTAAATATCTGATATGCAGGATGGTCTTAGGCGACCCCTGTGAAAGGGTGGTTCGACCGCCAAAGAGGTCGCGACCCACAGGTTGAGAACCGCTGCTCTATAGGGAGATCCAGGGAAAGGAAAGAGGCAGGACGGAAAGGGGGACACACGGGGGGGGGGGGGGGGGGCAGAAAGGGAAGAATCACTCCTGAGAAGCACATTCCACACACTCCGTAATCCGGATCATTTTATGGGCGTTTGGTGGGTGAGATGGTGAGGCCTGAGAGTTCTGTAATTAGTTCTGCATAAACTGAGAAGTTTGCATTGTGTCAGGAAGTGGAAATTATAGCCCCCGCGGTCGTCTCTATCCACTTGCACAGACTCACAAAATTTACTGCCTCCTGGTGCAGAGCAGGGTCGGTTTTCCCATTAGCGGCCACACCAGTTCTTTCAAGCAGAGGAGAGAGAAACCGTAGGGCCGGCAGAGGTGGCCCTAGGATCGTGGCGATGCCCGCAACCAGCATCCACACCATGGCCGTGTCTGTGTTCTCCTGCCAACTGCGAGTCTAGTTCACCCAGAAAGGAGCTTGGGGGATTGTTGTCCTAAGAGGACTCCGCTTAGGGCTGGGGTATCATGATGATAGAGGCCCTGGTCCCATGAGGGCAGCCATCCTGGGCTCAGACGGTGTGCCAGATCATTCAACCCTGACTGCATTGCATTTGCAAGAAAGCTGCTGTGGTCCTGCTGACAGGGGGTAGCTCCTGGCCCCAGGAAGCCTGCTCTGGGGAGAGAGGCTCAGAGCTGCGAGAGAGGCTCCAGCATGGAAGGACTGGCCCAGTGCTGATGGGTACCTTTGCAGGGAGCTCCCTGTCACCGGCGGGGTTCGGGTAGGGTCTGCCATGTGTTGAGCAGCTTCTAGATCAGATGGGAGACAGGATTAAAATCCCTTCCCGCTCAGGGAAACCATGGCTTCCTGGGGACAGAGTCGGCTCCATCTCCATAGAGAGCTTCCCTGGCTGTGGAAGGAGTGTGAGTCTCCTCCAGCCTTTGTTCAGGTCTTTCTTCACCTGCATCAGGCTTGTGACAAGCATCACCACTTTTTTTTTTAAATCCTCAGCCAAGGACATGTTCATTGATCTTTAGAGAAAGGGAGGGAGGGGGGAGAGAGAGAGAGAGAGAGAGAGAGAGAGAGAGAGAGATGAGAGAAGAAACATAGACATGAGAACAGGCCATCAATTGCTTGCCTCCCGTATGTGCCCTGATGGGGACTCGAACCCAGGGCCTTTCGGTGTATGGACGACTCTCCAACCAAGCCACCTAGCCAGGGCACAAGCGTCACCCCTTGTAGATCTACGAGGAACTGAGAAGGCCCTTCTTCTCCTGCTTGGCTCTTGCTCCTCACCCTTCCTTTCTCTGTCAGACCACCCCCTTGCCCTTCCTCAGCGGCCTCTGTGGAGTCTGCAGGGCTGTGAGCTCCCTCTCATGTTGCTAGGGTTTCTGGAAGGCTCCTCTGGTCTCCACTTCTCCCAGCCCATCCTTGAGTCTGGTCAGTAGGTGTTCCTGGAGCCCGAGGCGGTCTCCGCACCCTCATGTCTGGGCTGGCCTTCCCTGTGCCGGGATCCTCGTTCTGTCTGTCGTTACTTCAACAAAGCCCAGAGCTTATGCACTAGGGACTGGTGGCCAGCAGCAGAGGGCTCGCCCCCAAGCATCCTTCCTTTGCCCATCATTTCCCTGTTACTCTCTTCTCCCCTCTCTGCTCTCTGCTTGGAGTAAGGCACGGGAAGGATGCCCCTGATTACAGGTGCTGAGATGAGTTGCCCCCCCCCCCCCGCCCCCAGGGAGGAGCGAGTGCTAGCAGGTGGGAACACAGGGCTGGGCCAGGGGCCAGGCTGTGAGGGGGACCTGCGGGGTAACCGAGGGACCCTCCGCATCTGCTGCGATTGCTGTGCCCCAGTGACGTGACACCATGTGGGGAGGCCTCTCTTCCAGCGTGGGGTGGAACTCAGTTCTCAGCAGAGATGTTTCTCAGCCCATGAGCTTTGCTAATGATTAGCTCCATCCACCCCTCTCCCCCAGCAACTGGGCCCAACGTGGCAGCCTCCCAGAGGCCAGCCCGCCAGCGGGGCAGGCTCTGCCCCAGCTCCTCAGGATCTAAGCCCGGTGTGGCCAGCGGGCCCTGTGCTGCCCCGGCCCCGCTCAGGGCCAGCCCCGCCGCCCAGACACTGTGAGTATTGTTGTGCGCCCATGTGGTACCTATTTGATCCAAATTTATGACGCCAATCTCCTTTAAATATGTTGCAAGACACAAAGTGTGTTTAAAACATTACAACCCTGGCTCTCTTTCAAGGGGATTGACGAGGATTGTCAGACTGTATGTGGATCACAAACCCGGTGAGGGCTTATCTCTAAGCAATCGGAGCTGGTCAGTCTGTCTCTGCAGGGGGGTGCGTCTGACGCATGTGGTGGTCTGGGTGTTAAGTCCCCGGGTTTGCATGAAGGACTGTGGCTGAGCGCACGCTCCCTTCCACAGCTGTGGGCTGTGCGTTTTCAGACCAGAGGAGGCGGGATGTGAGAACCTCGTGCTAGAGCCGCTGGTAACTGCAGTCACCCCTCCTGGAGGCTGCTGGGCTCCCCAGAAACAGGGACTCCCAGGGGAGCAGGCCCATGAGCCCTGTGGTTGGATGGCTAGGACACTGAGGTGGGGGCGTAAGGAGTGGAAGCTCAGCCACCCGGCCCATCTCAGTCCTTCTACGAGAGGATGTGTCCGTTCTGATCCGCCGGTCAGAGCAAGGGGCCATGTGGTGGACACACTCCCATAGAATGGCGATTAGCATTATTACAGCTATGTTACGGGGCCCCTTCAACATGCCAGTTTGTGAATAAGGCACTTGGCACACATCAGCTTACTAGATCTTTATAACAACCCTCTGAGGTGCATTCTATCCTCATCCCCAATTGGCAGATGAACAAACTGAGGTTCACAAAGGTGAACCCTCGAAGGTCCACAGCCAGGAAGTGGTGGAGTCAGATCTGTCCGACCCAAAGCCTTGCTCTGAATGACTACCACCTGGGCCTTACAGCTGGGGGTCCCCAGGATTTCCAGTAGGGAGGTCCCCCTCCACTAGGAGAAAAGAAGGTGAGTGTTGAGCTCTTTTCCTTCTTGTGAGGAAAGGTAGTGGCTGGATCCGGGCCTTTCTCTGAGCCCCCCGGCTCTCTGTGAGCAGTACGTGGAGTGTCGATGGCAAAAAGCTTGGGGTGCGCGGTGCATTTTAGTTGAAGAACCAAGGGAGTGTGGTGTTTTTTCCACTGGCACCGATTTTGCCTCAGTGATTCCTGCAGGGAGTTGGCATGGTCCCGGGGCTTCCAATAGAGCCAGGAGGAGGCAGCTTGGCTCAGCCCCACACTGCAGCTATTCCGGAACCTTCCTGCGCCCTTCTGGCCCCCAGAGGACCTGCGCACTCCCAGGCTTCTCTCGGGCTCACAGGCAGAGTGCTTCGTCCAGATAGAAGCCATGGATACAGAAACGTCTGGGATGGGGACAGCACTCTTTCAAAGCCACGAAATCCTAGTGGGGACAGCCAGGCCATTTAAATTAAGGCCGATCGGGGAGCTGAGGCAGGGGCTCCAGATCTGAGGCTGACGGGCTCCCACTCTGCCGGTTTCCAGCCCCAGCCTCCGCTCTCTGGGCCCCATTGCTCCTGCACTCCAAAGTCCACGGATTAATTAGAGCTGACTTTTCTTTTTGGAACTCACTACAAAATCACCCGATCTCAAATCGAGATTACAAGCCAGCCGCCCTTCCAAAGCCCTGGCCTTCGATGGGGCGCCTGACCCGGTAATTCCCCAGATCACTTCCTGCCAGCCCCAATTACCGGAGGGCCTGGCATTTCCGTGGCCCCGGGCCTCCCTGCTCCGGGGCTGCTAGAGCAGGAACAGGGCACTGAGCTGCCCTCTTCCCGGAAGGCAGTCCTGGGAACGCTGTAGGTGAGAGAAAGACCTTGGCCCTCCTCACCCGCATCTTCCAGCCCAGGAAAGGGCCCGGTCCAGGCCTGAGGCCAGAGCTGCCTGCTGGCCTCCCCCCAGCCCTCCACTCCCTGCTCAGACAGGTCTTCTCCTCCCTGCAGAGAACAAAGAGTCTGTGTGTGGAGCTGCCTCGGCCCTGGGCCCCCCACCCAGCGTTAGGGAGGTCCATTCATCTCCTCGAGCTCCTCTGGCCTGACCTTTGCTGGGCTGGGGAGCTGACCTTGAAGCCCCCACCTCCTTCCAGACTACATTTTCTTGCCAAGTCCCTGCCCCGCTTGTTCCACAAACAGTAAATCACCAATTAGGAGGCCACTCCCCCTGGACGGGAGCAAGGCCAGCTTGTGCTCCAAGGAGCTCGCTTCCATCCTGTCGTCTGGATAAAGGATGGGTCCTCACCTGGAGGCCAGGACCAGCATAGAGAACCTATTGATGCTGCAGTGAGAGCGCAGGCAGGCCCCAGCTGAGAGTCAGTGACCTTGTGAAGTCCTGGCTGGGACAGGTCCTCAAGGTCATTCAGGGCATCCCCCCACCCACCCACCTGTGCTCACCCAGAGCTTTCTTAGCCCTGATGAATGGAACCCACCCCTCCCAGGCCGCCCATCAGGCATTGGTTCTCAGCACCACAGTTAAAGAACCAGGTGATGGGCTGGCGCCGCCTGTGGGTCACAAGCCTGGTCCCACAGCAGCCTGTGCCACCCATGCTCTATGTCCCTGGGGCAAGAGCCTTTGTAACACCCAGGCACCCACTCCCCAGCTGGAGGACGCCAGACCCAGTGGCTGACACCCACCCAGAGGCTCCCGGTTGGGAGGACCTGGGAAGGCAGAGATAGAGGGGTAAAGGGGCCGGGGGCTTTGGCAGACTATGGGAGCTCCTCCCCACCTAAGGTAAGCGGTGAGTTAGTGGGTCTAAATTCAGCACGATTCCAAACTTAACCTTTAAAAAGGAACTTTTTAAAGAAGAAAGCCGGGAAAGGACCCTCTAGATGTGCCCTCGCTGAGACGGGCCACCAGGGAAAGCTGTGTGCACAGGCATCGGCCTCCTCTGAGCGCTGGCTGCCTCCTCCCTGCAGACAGGCATGCTTGCCACAGCCACCCCGAGTCCTTGACAGTGGCTCTCACCCCTCTTTCACCTCGGCCACCGTCCAGGAACCAGCGCTTTCTGTTAGGACAGCACCGCCCCCAGTTCAGAGGTCAGGCTGGCGCACGCCCGTGGAGACAGGCCCTGGAGAAAGGAGGCTGATGAGAGTGGACTGAGCCCGCAGGGTGGGTCAGCGGAGGGCGCCCCTGCTTCCTGCCCGGCAAAGGGCTGGGAGTGAGGGAGGCCCTGAGAATGGGGATCAAGGGAGCCTGAGTCGTTTGCAGAATTAAGAGACTTGACCCTGGAGGGAGGGAGCGGGCAAAGGTCAGCCACGCTAATGAGGAGGGCTGCCTCCTTAGGAGGCTCCCAGGGGCCGGATTTCCCTGGAGGGCATGGCTATGTCTTTACAACAAACCCACATGCGCTGAAGACAAGCCCAATTAGCCGGAAGCCCGCACTCCCAGCGCCTGCTCTGCATGGCTCCTGTGGAGACGGGAGACGGCCCTGGAGCCCACCCCTCCCTGCTGAGGCACAGGAAGCTGTCTGTCTCTCGGGGCAGGAGGAGAAGGCAGAGAGCCTCCTAGAGCCGCAGTGTTACCCAGAGCTAACCTGCTCCACCAGGGAGCCCTGTGCTGGACCTGCCGACAGACCCAGTGTCCCCTCCCTGGCCGTGGCCTCTCTCCCTCCTAAGGGTCTCCCACAGGCAGGGCTGGGGGCGATGGAGAAGATGGGGGAGCAGGAGTGGCTGGAAAGCATCTAATCTCACTTTGCAGGTAGGGGTCCTGGGCCCGGAGAGAGAACAGGGTTTATCTGGAGTCACACAGCCAGCCTTTCCTGACTCCATCAGCTCCTCAACATGGAGGTGGGAAGGGGAGACAGGGCATGGAGGGAAAGACAGGGGCAGGGCAGGGCAGGGCAGGACAAATGGGAAATCCCTGGGTAGTCAGGGACCCCCAAGCTGACCTCCCACTTGTACCTCTACCCCACCCCCAGGGACTCTGTTGGTGTCCTAGGGGCTGAGTCAACCCATTTGGGTTGATTGGCATGTTAGCAGGGCCTCCTGGTCCTAAAGGAAAGAGTGACAGGAGCCTCAGCTGGTTCTCCTGGGAAGGGGCTGGAGGCCTGATGAGGTCCTGGGGTGCCCTCTGCTGGCCACATAGCAGACCCACACTGGCAGGCAGGGCCCTGCCCAGTGCTTTTCTCTGGGCGCCTCTGGTTAAAGACCACCCAGGGCTCTGGGCTGAGCTGCCCTCACAGGCCTGGCCCACTCCTTCATGCCTGTGGGGCACAGACCCAGGGCCCTCCAGCAAAGAGGACGTTGCCTGCTTTCAGCCTGCAGAGGGTGTTTAACAGAAGCAGGTAGAACACCAGCCCAGCCGACCCTGGGGTTGGCCTGGAGAAATGGGTACCTGGGCTTTGGCAGACAAAAGACCTATGTTCACTTCCCTGCTCTGCATGACCTTGACAATCGTACCCGGCCTCTCTGAGCTAGTTTCTTCACCGGTGAAGCAGGAGTAACAGCCACTCCCGCTCTGGAGTGGATTCCTGGACAGTGAGTAGAAAGATGAAAAGCCCTTAGCCCGGTGCCAGACACATGGCAGATGCAGTAAATTGCCATGCCTTTCTCGGCTCTTTCCCATAAGAGGGGTTCCCCAGGATTTGGTGGCTTGGGCAGACCTGGGCCACTGGCTTATCTGCTGTGGTCACTGCCTGTGGCTTAGGGGTCCTGGTGAGTGAGGATGAGAAAGGGCTCCTGGGTTTGGAGCTAAAGATTCTGAGCCTTTTGCAGAATTCAGAGACTTGTCCCCCAAGAGAATGGAGGTGAGCCACCCCAGGCCGACGTGGTTTTGTGCTCAGATTACAAATGCACGGGGTCCTTCTGCACTGAGGAACCAGCACTGGGCTCGGGCATAGCAAATGGCTCCACAGAGCAGATGGTGTGTGACCATCAATGAATGGGGTGTTGAGGAAATAACAAGAAGTCATGAGAGTGGGTGGTGTTTTCAGGGAAGCAGGAAGAGGTGTCAGGCTATGAGGAGATGAGGCTGGGAAGGAAGCGAGGACGGGAGGCCATGCTCAGGATCCCGGCCCCTTTTCCGGTCAGTGCCAGGCAGCGGCTGTTCTGAATGGGAGTGTTATTGTCCAGCTTACGTACAGGGAGGGCTCAGTCCTGGAGCAGAGAGTTAGAAGCCTCTCTGTCCTTGGTGAGCATGGGGTGACTGGGACTGCTGTCAGATGGCAGCGAGGGGTGAGGACAGCTGAGGTGGGACCAGGTTCGCCCTCTGCCTGAAGCCTGTGGCCCTGCCGCTGGCCTGAGAGAGGAAGCTGGGCCGGGCGGGCGGGGTTGGGCATGGCCACCTTCACACACAAGAAGCTGCAGCTGGGCCGGCCGCTGTCACCTGTAGCTGCACAGCATTCTGGGCCCTGCCTGGGGCTTCAGTTGGGGTTCAACTCCTGGAGACAGGAGCTGGTCTTCTTCCTCCCCTGGTCACCCTAACACGGCAGCCCCCATTGCCACTGGCTGGCATCCCCACCCCCTCTCCTCCTGGTGTGTCCTGAGCTCAGCCCCTCCCATCCGTGTGGCATTTTCACGGAGGTACGAGAGGCTGGAGACACTGCTGAGACGGTAGCGCACACCCATGAGATCCTGGAGCGGCGACAGCTGTCCTGTTGCCTCTGGAAGGTGCCAGGTGGCGCCTGGTTCATCTCCAGTCCCCCACCACCCAAGTGCAGGCAGACCCTCTGCCACGTGGGGCCCTTGGGAGGAGTTAGACCCAAGGAACCTGGAGGAAAAGGAGCCCCAGGAGGACATGACATGCGGGAGCCGGTCTGGCTCAGCCCCAGGTCCCGCGGGAGCAGGGCTGCTGGAATGAAAACAGGCAAGAAGTGCCAGGCGGGGGCGGGAGGGAGGATGTGCGGTCGGTGCGTGGCCCAGGACCCCTCCTACCCGCAGCACTGAGTTCCAGGCCCGCTGGCAGTAGGTCTTGAACAGCTCCCTGCCCCCACCCCATGCCCACAGGACTCGGCTCCTGCGGTGGCCGCTCTCTCTGGGGGCCTTCCCCTCACTGTGACACATGCCTTGGGCCCCTGTGTTCACATAGCTGAGTGGCCCGCGCTGACCGCCAGAGCTCAACGGTCCCGGGCTTCCAGACCAGCCGTTCTCAGGGACATCCTCGGGCCCTGAGTCTGGTCCTCTTCTCATCGTTTCTCTGTTTCTTCCTTCAGGGAGAACGGGGGATGCCGGGGATGCCAGGCAAACACGGAGTGAAGGTACCTGCCCCTCAGCACACCCAGGCAGCCCCTCCGCCACCCCGACCTCTCTCCCACGCTCCTCCTTCCCACGTCCCACGGTGAAGACTGGGGGTGCATATCCTCCCAGGCCCTCGCCCCTCGCTGTGCAGCCAGTCCTTCCAGGCAGGGCTGCCCTGTTTGGCTCCTGTTTGGCCCCATCACGCACCAGTGCCCTTCTGAAATGGCCAGGCCTCCTTCTGGGCATCCTTGGGCCATAATAATCTTCTTGTGTAACCCCAGCTCTGGCTGCAGTCCTGAGACCCATGTGAGGAGTAGACGCCCCCTAACATCACCTCCACGGGGGGTTTACTAAGCAGTGTGTTTGGAAGCCTATGCACTTCAAAAGTCAGTGGTCTTGAGCTGATATAGAAATGGGGTTCACTGCCAGCTGCTCCCCAGTCCCTGAGGGCGTAGGCCCAGAGAGCTTCCTGTGAGGAGAAGCCTGCTGACACACACTGAGGGGCACTGTATGTGGTGACATCTCCATCTACTCTTCTCCCCTTCCCCAGGGCTCTCCCTGCTTCCCCTCCCCCATCTCCTCCTCCTTTTCTCCTGTCCCAACGAAGCCCTCCCTCATTTCACCCCAGGGATGCCCCATTGAGCTCACCTGTGGGCATCCTGCCATGATGCCACTGTGTCCCCCAGCACAGCCTAGGGCAGTGATGGCGAACCTATGACACACGTGTCAGAGGTGACACGCGAACTCATTTTTTTGGTTGATTTTTCTTTGTTAAATGACATTTAAATATATAAAATAAATATCAAAAATATAAATCTTTGTTTTACTATGGCTGCAAATATCAAAAAATTTCTATATGTGACACGGCACCAGAGTGAAGTTAGGGTTTTTCAAAATGCTGACACGCCGAGCTCAAAAGGTTCGCCATCGCTGGCCTAGGTGCTGAGCAGGTGGGTGGGACCCTGGGCACCCAACTGTGCTGCACAGAGCCTCTTCCTCGGGGCCCACCCTCCCCGTGCCAAGCTCAGCACCCCTCCTTTCCCGTGGGTTTGGGTGGTACACAGGCGTGAGCAGTCCACCTTCGCATCTCCCCAAGGGGAGGCTGGGAGGCTGGCCACTTCCTCGTGCTCCCCCTGACTGCAGAACGTCTCCATGCCTTTTCTTCTCTCTGCCAGGGGGCTCCTGGCATCGCCGTGGCGGGGATGAAGGTCAGTGAAACGCTGTCATTCAACACGGAGGCGTAATGTGGGAGAGATGGAGAGAGGAGGACAGCGTTAGGGCTTCACAGGCCCTGAACCAAGGAGGGGGCAGACAGGGTTGGGAAACATTTCTCCTGAAGCAGCATTGTTGCCAGATCCATGCACACATAACTTAAACAGCCCATGTCAGATCCATGCACACATAACTTAAACAGACCATGTCAGATCCATGCACACATAACTTAAACAGCCCATGTCAGATCCATGCACACATAACTTAAACAGCCCATGTCAGATCAATGCACACATAACTTAAACAGCCCATGTCAGATCCATGCACACATAACTTAAACAGCCCATGTCAGATCCATGCACACATAACTTAAACAGCCCATGTCAGATCCATGCACACATAACTTAAACAGACCATGTCAGATCCATGCACACATAACTTAAACAGACCATGTCAGATCCATGCACACATAACTTGAACAGCCCATGTCAGGTACACGCACACATAACTTGAACAGCCCATGTCAGATCCATGCACACATAACCTGAACAGCTGATGTCCGATGAATGCACACATAACTTGAACAGCCGATGTCAGGTGCATGCACACATAACTTGAACAGCCCATGTCAGATCCATGCACACATAACCTGAACAGCCGATGTCAGGTGTATACACACATTATTTGAACAGCCCTTGTCAGGTGCACACACACATAACTTGAACAGCCCTTGTCAGGTGCACGCACACATAACTTGAACAGCCCTTGTCAGGTGCACGCACACATAACTTGAACAGCCAGTGTCTACCTAAGCTTACAAGGAAGTAGAAAGGGTTACCATTCTCAGCTACAGGTCTCACCCTCCTGCCATGTCGTGGAGCCAGAGCTTTCCTTCACACTGGAATTTCACAGCTACTTGCTTGCAAAGCTTCAGGGAGGGGAGCTGGATTCCTCCTCCTGAACCCACCCCAACCGCCATGTGGTTGGCAGGCGGAGGGTGGAAACACCCAGCAGCACAGTGCTCGTGTGGCTCTCAGGCAGGTCCGCTTACAGGGGCACCTCTCCCTCTCCTGCGGGGCCTCACTGACACCCACACCAGCCACACGCCTCACCTGGTGGAGAAGAGGGGGTCCAGGAGGCCTCTTTGGCCTGTGGTTGAGGTCTAGGCCAAGGAGAGGCTGAGCTGGCCAGGTGCTTCGCCTGCCCCCAGAGTAGCTCTGCTCAGCGCTTCCTGCTCCCTTCCCCGCTCTCTCGCGCCCTCTTATCTCCTTACCTGAATCTTTTTTTTTCCTACACAGGGAGAACCAGGAACCCCAGGAGCCAAGGTACTGACACAGGGAATGTCTGGGCTGCAAGGAGCATCAGGTGTCAGGGGAGGTGGGAGGGGCTGCTGCTGTTTCTCACTCCTGATCCCCCTGAGGTGGGCCTGGGGCTGGGGACCTGACTGAGCAGAGGACAACCTGCCAGGGTGGGGCCTGCTTGTCAGGGTTGCACAGCAAGTGCCTCCCTGCTCCTGGATTCTGGCTGGACAGCTCGGCCGGTTTGCCTGCACACCTGCTCCAGCAGCCAGGAGCAGCTGTCCCCTGCACCTGGGGGCTGTCTCTCTCATCTAGTTCATTAAGGGATGTAACATGAAAAAAAGTTTCCATGGTCAAGTATGTTTGGGAAAAAGGAATTAAAAATATTGCACGGGTTTCTTTCGTGCAGGCCTTTTCAGAGCCTTTAACATGCTAAATGTGCATTGGAGAGCTTTGTAAAGGTAATATCTTGTGAAGAATGTCAAACTTTTTTGACCAGGGCCTCCTTTTTTTCAGAGGAGCATCTTATGGGACTAGGGTTCTAGAAACACCGGTCTATGATCGCTGTCCATTATCCCCCTCATGACCCCCACCTCTGTCCTCTTAGGATGACTTTCTCTTCTTACCCCAAAGGGAGACCCAGGAGCAGCAGGGAAGCCGGGGCCCCCAGATTTGCCGGGAAAGAGGGGGCAGAGGGTAGGATATTGTGCCTTTGAGAGTGCTGGTCCCCCACCCCTTGCCCACCTCTCCCTCCCGTGGCTGGGGTGCTGCCTGCCACGTGCTATGGGTGCATGTACCCCCAGGAGGAGGGCAGTGCGGCTGCTGCAGAAATTCCACTTGAGCAACCCTCCCTCCTTGAAAGCCATGGGTTACCCGGGAGAACCCAGCAGAAGGGAGGCCCTTCCTCGCTCCGTCCCCACCCCCAAGGCCCCCGCAGACGGCACTGCATCCCTTCCCGGCTGTTTCAGGGCATGCCCACTAAGGCACAGCCCAGGCAGACCCGTGTCCTCCTGTCACGTGGGCACTCAGCCAGCCTCCTTCCCTTCCTTGGCCAGCTCCAGGCCACTGTGCCATTCAGCTCCTCCCCAAGGACAGGTAACAAGGGGATGACCCCCAGTGACTTGGTGTGGCTTCTTGTGTGGCTCCAGCTGGACAAGTCAGTGCGACGTCGGAGCAAATTATGACCCAGGGCCCTCAGTTTATGTAACCACACACGTGACAGCCAGCCTCAGGCTGCGGAGAGCGGAGCTGACCTGGTGGTGCTCTGGGGGCTCCTGGTGTGAGACGCTGGGTCGGAGGTGGAGCCTCAGGAGACCTGCCTGTGAGACCAGCTCTCCCGCCGACACAGGGCGGCTGCTCACAGGCAGAGCCTCCCCCTCTGCACCGAGGCGGGCTCTGTGGTCCAGGTCAGGGGGAGAGTTCTTCAGGAAGGAGCTGGCTACGAGGGTGTTCCTTAGCGAGGGCGCCCCACAAAGGACCACAAACACTGTCGCTCAACCCACAGACATGTATTGTCCCCCGCCGGGGGGCCAGCGGTCTGAGGTGCAGGTGTCAGCAGGGCGCTCCTTCTGCGGCTGTGAGGGAGCATCTAGCCCAGGCCCGTCTCCTGGTTTCCGGGTTTGCTGGCATCCTTGCTGGTCCTCGGCTCATAGACCCCGTCTGTGCCTTCACTCTCACTTGGGTTCCCCCGTGTGCATGTCTGTCCAAGTTTCCCCTTCTTATAAGGACACCAGTCATATTGGATTAGGGGCCCACCCCACCCCAGCATGACCTCGTAACGTAGCTAGTTACACCTCCGTGTATTTACACCTCCACTGTCCCACTTCCAAATAAGGTCACATTCTGAGATACTGGGGGTTCAGACTTCAACATACAATGGGGAGGAGGAGGCACAATTCAATCCGTAACAGGAGGCAAGCTTCTCAAAATATTCCTCCAAAGAGATGTCCTTGTTAGATGGTCTTGTCTTTTTTTATTTTTTAATATTTTTTTTATTGATTTCAGACAGGAAAGGAGAAGGAGAGAAACATCAATGATGAGAATCATTGATCGGCTGCCTCCTGTACGCCCCACACTAGGGATCGAGCCCGCAACCATGGCATGTGCCCTGACCGGGAATCGAACCGTGACCTCCTGGTTCACAGGTCGATGCTCATCCACGGAGCCATGCCGGCCGGGCTGGTCTTGTCTTTAGAGGCAGGAGGAGGCGGGCAGAAGGCTCTGCCTGGAGACCAGGGGCCTCTAGTGGCTGGTCTGATGAACATGGACGTGGAAAGAGCACGGTGGTTAAAAGAAAGAGCTTCCCAAATGCCTGGCTCCACGCTGCTCGTCCCCCCAAAAGGGCCTACGCGCTCTTGGCTCCCCTCTCGCACGAGTGATGAGGGCCCAGACCACCTGGGGAGAGGGGAGCACTGATACAGGCTGTCCCCAGTGTGAAGTGGTCTTAAGAAGGAGTTGGGCCAGATGGGGGCCCTTCAGGAAGTGGAGGCCTTCAGAAAACAGCGCAGGAGGGGCAGGGAGGTGGGAGAGAGGAAAGCCAAGGCCTGGTGCTGGCGGGGTGAGGCCTCACCCACATCCTGGAGGAGCGGCTTCTAACCCACATTGTCTGCATTTCTCCGCAGGGTGAGAAGGGCGCCGCGGGCCTTGGCCTCCTGGGGCAGAAGGTGGGTATTGAGGAGCTCTGCATGGTGAGATGCGTGTAGAGGTCTGATGTCCATCCCCGCCCACATTCCCTCCCAGAGGAGGGGGGTAAAGAGGTACCACATGGGAAGCCCTGATTGGCCAAACAATGCCCAGATTCAAAGAATTCAGTGGCTGTGACCTGGTCAGACTTCTTTGCAGCAGCTCTGAAATGTGTTCAGTGGTACATGAGCTCCATAAGATAGTGCACTTGAGAAAAGACTAGAGGTCAGGTAAGTGTGGGAGAGCTGGGTAAGGGGCCCCTTAAACAGTGACAGGCACTGTCGCCTGTCAGAGCTCTGAGCACGCTGCATGAAGGAGCTCTCAAAGCTTCATTTCATTCCGCCTTCCCTAGCGTTGTTTGGCCACCAGACCCCTTTTTTTTCACATTTCAAATATTTTCAACCCCCTGAAGAAGTGTTCCATGGAACACCCTTTAAAATATGTATTTTTTTAATTGATTTCAGAGAGGAAGGGAGAGGGAGAGAAAGGTAGAAACATCCATGATGAGAAAGAATCATTGATCAGCTGCCTCCTGCATGCCCCCCACTGGGGATCGAGCCGGCAGCCTGGCATATGGCCTGACCGGAATCGAACTGTGACCACTGAGCCACGCCAACTGGGCCCATGGAACACTCTTTCAGAAACGCTGTTCCAGACCCAGGTTCTGATAGGTCTCTTATTTCAGCCTGTTCCCCTTCAACAGCCAGCTCTATTCTCTCCTCAGAACCTGCGGCTGGATCAGACTAGGCCAGGCTTCTGAAGGCCTCTGGAGCCCACAGCCCCCTAATGCCCACCCCCACCTCTTACCAAATTTAGCCTGAACTGTGAGGGAAGAACTAATAACGCTTCCTTTCCACCCCCAGGGAGAGAAAGGCGATTCTGGCAACTCCATTGGAGGAGGCAGAGGGGAGTCCGGCCCCCCAGGACTCCCCGGGCCCCCAGGGCCAAAGGTGAGTCTTCCCCTGGGATCAGTGCTCACAGAAGATGTTTGCCTGAGGCCTTTCCCTCAGCCAGATCTTGGGGACTCTGTGTCCTGGGCACCTTGCCTTCCCTAGTATGTGTGGTTTTCCCGTGGATCCTGGAAAGGTCGTTTGGCCTGAGCTCCTATTTCCAAGCAGAAGCTGTTTGGCATCCAGGAGAGATGTCACCCAGGACGGAGGGTTGGTCCCATTGACTCAAATGGCTATGATGTAACTGAGTCAGGGGCTGGCGACTGCAGGGCCTTAGGACAGCCAGAAAGGCCCCTCCGCTGGGCTCTGAATAGGCCTCAGGCCAGCGGGCTGCTGAGCCCCGCCTGTGCTGGTGCACTTTGGGGAGCAGGATGGTGGCGGGAGACAGCTGGCTGCCCACCCTTTCCTTGCTCTTTGTGGAAACTGCAGGGGTAAGACTCGGGCTTCCCAAAGCAGATGCTTCCTTGGTTTATTTTAGCAGCATGGGGAGGTGAGGGGGTCCCTTTCTTAGCTCATAAGGAGAAGATTAATTACGTGATTGGCAGCAGCACACACATTCACCCCGTTGACTGGCGTTTATCAAGGGCTGCTAAGGTGGACCCTGCATGGGTAGCCGGCTGCAGAGAATCTTCCAGGGTTGGCCTGCAATCTGGCAGGACAGACAGAGCCACAATTCGCAGGAATACAGCGCAGGGAGCACGAGGAACCTCGCAGGCAGACGTGCCTTCCCCTTCCCCATGCCCATGCCCTAGGCCCATCTGACTGTGGCGGGGACAGAGCCTCCCTGACATGAGCACCAGCTTTGCCAGAGGTGGCCCTGCCACCGGGTTCCCAGACACCCCAAGTTTTGGAGTTTGTCCCTCTGACCCCACAGGGCATGAATAGCTGGCACATTTAGGGCCTTCATTTAGGGTCGGAGAAACCTGGTCACTATTGTCCTCACGCCCTGGGACAAAAGAAAGGGGAAGCTAGAAGACTGTTCCCGAAATCTCGTCCTCTTTCCAAGTCCAGGCAGATGTTTAATAAGTGACGTGTTTGGGATGGGCCTCTTCCCATTTCCCCGTCCCCTCCTGTCCTAGGCCTCCAGCACTCCCCTTGTGTCCCCCCACATACACACAGGCCCAGGGTCTTCACCCGCCCCCTCACCACCACCCCGCCCCAGGCAGGGTGAGGTGTGCCTTTGCAAGTGTTTCAGGCTCCAAAATGACCCACCAAGGGCTGCTGGCATCCACATTTGGGGCCAAGACAGAACTGAGCACATGCATGTCAACTGAGAACTGAGGACGGCCTGGCTGGGGGGGAGGGTGGGTGGCAAGGGGTAGACACCAGCCAGTGGTGAGTACAGACCTCAGCGGAGGAAGGGAGTAGAAAGAAGGGCTGCCAGGAGGAGGTGAGAGCCGGGCTGGGCCCAAGCGTGGGTAGGAGTCAGATAGGTGGAATGGGGCGAGTTCATAGAATCCAGCAGAGAAAGACATGGAGGCCCAAAGACACAATAGCCAGGACATTAACAGCAGGACCATCTTGCCCCCTTGAGCGGCTGTCCAAGGTGCCCTGCAGGCCCTCACCCCATCTCTCTCCTTCCCCAGGGAGAAGCTGGTGTCCATGGCCAGGCCGGCCCCCCCGGAAAGCAGGGGGACAAGGTACGGAGGCCCCAGATCTGAAAGCTGCAGAATGAGGGTCAGCTTGGGAGTTCAAGCCCCAGCTCAGAGATGAGCAGTGTGGCCACCCCTGCGGCTGGACCCCCGGGCACAGGCTGACCAGCTGGGACTCCTGCTGCTGTCTGTCCCCCGAGACAGCAGTCATGCGAAGGCTGGCCCAGGGGCCAGACGCGGGGGCTGGGAGTGGCCCAGAGCCCCTGCTCTGTTAGCTTTTAAGCACTGGTACAGGGGACTCCCGCTTCCCGCCAGCTGCTCCCCGTGCAGGGGCGGGTGGGTGCTGTGTGCTGAGGCGGGAGGCGGAGGGCAGGTAACCTGGAGGCGGCAGTGGCTGGACGCTCCATGAGCTCCACCTCCAGTGTCCTCACGAGTTGAGTTACATTAAAGGGTTTATTTTTCCTTTATTTTCACTTTCTATCTTATTTTTTTTTTAATTGTCCTCAATGTTAACATTATCCCAGAACAACTGAAGTATGGTTTGTTCTCACAATATATCCCACTGTTTCATTTATTCCCCACCCTTCTGTCCTGTTTCCAACAGGAAAAAGTCCCTCACGTCCCCGGCTCAGGGAGGCTGGGGGCTCCTAGTACCTTCCGTTCCCCACCCCTCCCGTGTTCCGTCCCGCAGTTTGGATCTTTCACAAACAGAGGGGCCCCTAAAAGTACCGCACGGGCTCTTCATGGCAAACACTGACCCAAGCAATTAACTGGCAGAGGTTCCGGAGCCCTTGCTTCCTGAGCAGAATGGAAATGGGGAGAACCAGAGGGCTCATCTCTGCGCCCAAGGAGGCGCTGGCTGAGGGGTTGGGAGGTGGCAGGCGGACACAGGTAGAGTCACTAACAGCTAACGCAGGACAGAAAGAAGACCTCTCAGCGCAAGCTGGGAAGGAGGGGGGTGCCTCCAGGTAGAGGGGAGCCTGCACTTTCAGGCACAGGGAGCTCTGCGTCCTCGTGGCTGAGCTAGGGTGAACCTCCTGGCCGCCCCGTGGCCCTAGCGCGTGGCCCACCTGGAGGCATCAGGTTCTCTGTACCCAGCTTTATCCCCATTTCACCCCAGTTTTGTCGTGCAATAGGGGGACCCTGGAGCGCCTGGAGAACAGGGACCAGCTGGCCCCAAGGTACGTGCATCTCACCTCCCTGGGGTCACAGAGTGAAGTGGCTGGCCCCTGGGGTCCTGAGGGGCGAGGAGAAGAGCTTGATAGTCCCCAATAAGAGGTCTGGCGTTGCAGCCAGGACTGGGCTCAGTCTTCTCCAGGTCGATCTAGTTAGGCGCTCACGGAGTCCAGCTCCCAGGCACCCTCTGAGAGCGCTCGGGTCTCCGATAGGCTCCCCGCTTGCTGCCCTGGACCCACCTGTGTGCAGCCAGGCGCAGCCAGTGCTGTCCACGGTCCAGTGGACAGACAGCGGGCGGCAGCTGTGGTCAGTTCCCTGCTGGCCCGGCAGCTGAGGTCATGTTTGTCTTGCAGGGCTCCAAGGGAGAGCCAGGGAAAGGAGAGGCGGTGGAGTGCAACTCCAGCATCAACGAGGCGCTCCAGGTGCGTGGGGCTGGCCTGGGGCTAGAGATGGGGAGGTGCTGGCCTCGCGCTGCACGGAGGCCTGAGAAGGGAGCTGCACACCTGGACGGACGCCCCTGAGGCCAGGCCACTGAGCCAGGCTCCCTTGTTCCCCCCCTTTGGCCTGCAGTTTGGGTCCCACTGCGCAGCCCCCGGGCAAATGGCCCGCTCATTTGGCATCCAGGTGGCCTGGCTCCCCACCTGGGCCCATCTGGCCCGTTCTCCTGGCTCTGGGTAGCTGAGAGCCATTCCTGGAGCATCCTGGCACCCTGCAGAGTGTTGGCCCATCCAGGGTTTGGGGGCCGCATTTCTTCAGAGCACACACTCCCCTTTCACATGTCTTCCTGGAACACATCTCCCTTTTGCGTCAATTTTATCGTATTTCAAGTTCCTATGACACCCGCCCCTGAAAGCAGAGCTCCTCAGCCCCAGCACTGTCCACAGCTGGGGCCGGTCCTCTTTGCTCGGAGCTGTGGGGGGTGGGTCCTGTGGGTCACAGGGTGTTCAGCATATGCCTGGTCTCCACCCACCCGATGCCAGCAGCACCTCATCCGTTATGACAACCAAAATGTGTCACTGCCAAATGCCCCCTCGGGGCAAAACGGCCTCAGGTGGAGAGCCACTCCTTTAAATGAAACGTTCTAACGACGACGTGACTCCATTTACGAGCTGTATCATCCTTTTTTAATGCCAACAATTTCTGTCTAATTATTTTTTTAGTGATTCCATAGTTTGCTAGGCTGTCTGTTTGTCTGAAGGGCGGTGCAGCGGAACCTTGAAATCTAGGTGCTGGGACAAGAGGGAGAAGCAAGGGAGGCTCCCAGTCAGCGGCCAGAGAGCATGAGGGATGTTGCTTCCTCCCTCTTTGACAAAGTGAAGCAAAGGTCGCAGGCTATTTGAGGGCTTGTCTGAGTCATAGCAGGACAGCCTCAGAGCAGCATTCGGTGAGATGTGCGGTGCTCCCTGCCCAGTGATCACAAACCTCTGGGAGAGGGGGGCGGGTGCGTGGAGCTGGGAGGCACGGAGCCCACTCCTTAGAGTGGCCCAGCTCCCACGGTCCGTGACTGGGCCGAGGAGACCCGACAGATGGCTCTTGACTTGCCCTTCACCTGATTGCATGGTGGTGGTTTCTTAGGAGACCCTGATGCTGACCTTGACCATCAGTCTTCCTCTTCCTTCACCTTCCCTGGGCACCAATGCCAGGGCCATGGGAAGGGCAGGCTGGAAGCAAGGCCTGGAGGTCTTGCCTCACGAAGGCAGACGCTGGGCTTTTTTGGGTTAGGGTTGGCCTTGCAGGGCTGGGGCAGAGGGTGATGTAAGTCTGAACAGGGGGTCTCAGGAGCTGTCCCCAGCCTGGATCATGGCTGCCTGCTGGAGTGGCTCTTCGCTGATTCAGCTGTGCGCCTCCTCCTTGAAGCCTCCCCTGATCTACCAGGCAAAGTATACTTGGCACAGTATAAATGCTGGGTTCCCGTTGCAGCTCTGTCAAGGAAACAGGGGTATAGAGGAGGATATTTTTGTGTTTCTCCTTTTTCTCCACCTTCAGCTGATAAAGTGCATAACCCTGAAACATGAGTATCGACCCTCTGCATTTCCTACAAATCAATTTTATTGCCTGCACCTGGAAAGCCAGTGCATCCCAAGCCTGGGTTTTGCACACACGCCTACCAGTGGCCGCCTGCAGTGAATACTTGTAGTTCAAACTCCACCACCAGGTGGAGGGGACGGGGAGAGCTCCAAGTTCTCACACTCCTGGCGTGTTGTTTCACCCAATGCTGTAGTGGCCATGTGCCACAGACACGCTTAGGGACGACACGGACCCAGAACCAAGCGCCAAGCACAGGACACCCCAGTCCCAGAAACTGGTGTTGACCACGGGATTCTGGAATCCATGAGCTTCATTGGGAAACATTAGAATGGATTATTCAAAATAGCTGTTGGAAGCAAAACTTTCCTGGAAACACGTGTGTTTTTTTTCTTTTAAAAACAGCCGTGTATCATTTACAAACAATAAAATGTACCCCTTCTAGGTGTAGAGTTTGCTGAGTTTTGACCAATGTGTCCGTACACATGTATCCACCACCCCAGCCACTCCCGAGAGTTCCTCCATGGATGGGCCTGGGGGTCAGCCCCACACCTGCCCCAGCCCGGCGCCACCACTCGGCTCCTGTCGCCGCGGATTAGATGTGTCTTCCCTGAGCTTCCTAGGGGTGGGAGCACGCGTGTGTCGCTGTCTGCGTCCGGCTGCGTTTGCTCAGCGCCGCGTGTCGGGGCCTCACCCTGGCATGGCGGGTGCGGTCCTTGTTTGTCCCTCACTGCTCCATCGCATCGATGTTCCAGACCTTCCCCTGTGGCTGACGTGTGGTTGTTTCCTGGACACATTGTTAAGTCACTGTCCGGGAGGTCAGATGTGTCTTCTGGGAGCCGAGGAGCCGCAGCGGGGCCTCAGAGGCAGGAGGACAGAGGCTGCTGGGCGTGGCTCTGCATCCCACCACCTCCTCTAACCCAGACACACTCCGTGCCTATCGCCTGTACACTGTGAAGTCCCCATATTGTCTCCTTTGCAAAAACAGTGTTCCTGCCGCTGATAGAAGGTGTGAGAATGCCTGCTCTCTCTGCGCCAGCCTGTCTCTATCCCTCTCTGGTCACAGGCCACTCCTGCTCCTCAGAACATCCTTCCTGAGTCTTTGTTTTCTTTCCTAGGGGCCCCCTGGTCTTCCCGGGCAGATCGGCCCACCTGGAGCTCCAGGGATCCCAGGCCAGAAGGTAACACTTGTCTTGACCCTACAGAGCATGTGACTCTGAGCGTGGGACCCCGTGGCCACCCCTCATCCCATGACCCTCTCATCTTCCCAGAGCACCACCTCGCTCTGGCCTGTAATTCCCCCCAGTGCACCAAGGCTCACCCACACCCCAGCTGCTGTCACTCCTCCCACCCTGGGCTCTGCCGCTCTTCCCTGGCTGCCCGTCTTGGGCGCCTGTAACCCCTCTGATGTGGTGGAGCCTGCCCACAGACCCTGCCCAGCCACACGCACAGCACTGACCCCAACGTGCCACCAGGGAAAGGGCCTTGAACTCATCCCCAACCTCACCCGTCCTCGCTCCCTGCCTTGGCTCCCTTTCATACTCTGCCCCAGCCCCTGTGGTTTTTCTCAGAAGGCCTTGCATGTTTGCCCCTCTGCCCTCTGCTCATGAGGCCCCCTACCCTGAAACCCCTTCCCGTCTTCCCTACCTTCCAAAGCTCACCTCCTCCTTGAAGCCTCCCCTGATCTATCGGGCAGAATTCACTGTCCTTTCCTCGCTTCTCTCATAGCGCCTACAGCATTTTGCCTTGGTGGTGCAGCTGGCTGTCACCTGGGCTCCAAGACAGAGGCCACGCCCCCCTCATCGCCCTCTCTGAGCTAGAGAAGGGCCATGGGTTGGTGTGACAGTGAGAGGAGTGCCCTGTGGGGCGCCGGAACAGAGGGGCCGGGTTTGCAGGGAACACGGAGGCAGGCGCCCCTCCCATGGAGCCATGGAGTGAGTGTCCAGGGCCCTCGGTGGCAGCCTGATTTGGGGCTAAACGAGGACTTCGGAGCCAGGGTGCTGAGACTCCGGTCCTGGCTCCACTCCTCACTAACGGGGGGCCAAGCACACGCTCGGTGTTGGGGACCTCACCCTGGAACGGAGACCATGCGTGCCCGTGCCTCCTGAGGACTCTGGCACAGGAAGGGCCGCTCGGTGGCAGCTGTCACCCCCCTCTGCCTGGAGAGTAACCTGTAGTTGTTCTGCCACAGGGGGAGATTGGACTGCCAGGCCCTCCAGGCCACGATGGAGAAAAGGTGAGACCAGACACCCCAGACAAACCTCTGAAGCTGGTCCTGGCCCTGGGGGTGATGGGCAGGGGCTCCGCAGGAAGCCCAAGGTGGACCTTGTGGGGAAGGGAGAGAGGAGGGGAGGGGAGGCCCGCCCTGCACATGCCCTGCTGAGCCCCACGCTGCGGCCTCGGAGAAGCCAGCAGGCCACACTGGGCTGGGGCTAGGCTGGGCTGGGGCTGGGCTGGGGCTGGGGGCGGAGGCCCCTCGGGTTCCCACAGGGAGTCGGACGAGCTCTCTGCCTGGTCCAGCCAAGGACAGAAGAGCCAGTCCTGTAGGCCACTCATTCCTTCATGTTCTCTCTCCTGTGTCCTCCACTCGTGTATCTAATGAGTCGTGTTGATATTTCCTAAAGGGACCTCGAGGCAAACCAGGAGACATGGGCCCTCCTGGTCCCCAAGGCCCCCCAGGAAAGCCTGGGCCTGCAGGAATAAGGGGAGAAGACGGACATCCGGGGAGCCCGGGAGAGAAAGGCGAGAAAGGGGAGACGGGGCAGGCAGGCTCACCGGTAAGTGTCAGGCCGGTCTGGACCGCTTTCCCCTTCTGCATGCGCCCCCCACCCCCAAACCCCAGCATGACGTCAGCCCTGCGGCCTGGGCTGCTAACCTGGGAGCTGGGGGAAGGGGACTCACCTGGTTTCCCCTGGTTTACCAAGGCCAGTGTCCCCCCTCAAGAGACCTGGGTCCTGTTCTGTCGTCTTCTGTCTGTGTCCCCCTGAAAGTCCCTGAGCCTGGCAGCCCCGGTCCCTGTCTGCAGTGGCTTAGAATGCCTCCCCTGCAAACCTCGCTAGGATGTTGGGAAGGAGAGGAAGTCATGGGTAGAACACTGGCTCTTGGGAAAGCATGCAGAAGCCCTCTCACCACGGAGAATGCTTGTACAAAAACGGGGTCGCAGCCCACTCCAGCCAGGCCACTGCCGTGACTGGGGGCCTTCTCTGGCATCAGTGGCTCCCGTCTGAATGGTCACCGTCCTAGACACCGGCCCGTGGAGGAAGGGCGCCAGCGTGCATGCCGCATTTGGTCACAGATGCTCAGCCTGACGACCTTGCGCTTGACTAACAGAGATCTTTGTCGGTCCTTAGGGTCTAGATGGCCCAACTGGGGAGAAAGGAGAACCAGGTGGCCCAGGGAGACCCGGAACGACAGGATTGCCTGGCCCCATCGGGCTCCCGGGATTTACAGTAAGGCCCGAGGGCTGGGTATCCAGGTGGTCAGCCGGCAGCTGCGGACAGGGGCACCCGAGCAGGGGTGCCCCTCGCGTGGTTGGCAGCCGAGCAGGTGCCTGGCACTGCAGTGAGGCCGCACTAACCCCAGCCGGCCCCGCCTGGGAGGGGGTCCTCTTGATGGGCAGATACTTCCTGAGGGCAGCTGAGTATAAACAAGGGAGTGTAAGCTCCCTCGGCCCACAGCATGACGGCCTGTCTTCATAGCCAACATAGTGCAAAGGTGCCAGGGCCTTAGACTCAGAATCCTCCTCTTACGGGTGGGAAGAACCTCAGAGGCCAACCAGTCCCACCTGGGACGGCCTGCGGCCGCCTCACTCAGCTGCAACAGGAGGCAGCTCATCGCCTCCAACACGTCCCCTTCTTGGGGGGGCATCTCCACGCTGAAGGCAGTGCTCCTAGATTTGGGGTGCAAGTTCCCTCATCACCATCCCCCCATTGGCCCTCGCTCTGCCTCTGGAGCCTTATTCATTTCTGTAGCCATTTTAAAAACCACCACTAATTCAGCAGCTTAAAACAACACACACTTAAGATGTCACGGTTTCTGTGGGTCAGGAGTCCACGCCCCTCCCAGCTGGGCCCTCTGCCCAGGGCCTCCCGAGGCTGCATCAGGGTGTCGGCCGGCTGCGTTCTCATCTAGAACTGGGACCCCACCCAGGCTCGCTGCTGCAGGCATCATCAACTCCTGCTATAGCAGGACCGGTCCCGCAGCTCCCAGAGGCTGCTGCACGGCCCTCCCCACAGTAGGCAGTTCACATTATAGCAACCTGTTTCTTCAAGGCCAAGGCCAGCAGGAGTCTCTCCGCGTGTGCTGGCAGGACAGAACTCTGTGTGTGTGTGACGTGTAATAATCTTAACATATGTCATAGGTTATCATTTGTAAACTATAAACATAAGCTGGTCGCATAATCGCCTTTGCCGTATGCCATATTCTGTGGGTCCACCTCAGGGCCTGTGCCCTGCAGGACCCATAGAGAATGCCAGCCTCTCCTCCCACATGCTGAAAACTCAGGTTCTTAGAAGCAGGGATCACTGGCCACCTGCCCCATCTCCGTCCCTCAGGCTGACCACCCCCAGAGCCTCTGAGGTGTTCCTTGCCAACGCCTCGGCCTAGTCTACCTCCGGTCTGGTTTGTCACAGGTTTGAGGGTGTGTCTGTCCCAGGCTCCCCTGAGTGCTGGCATCCACGCCATGGTGTTTTGTGCCCACAGGGGGAGAAAGGAGAGCCTGGGGAAAAGGGTGACCCAGGAGTAGAGGTAGGTGGTGCCTGCTCTGCCTTGTGTGTCCCGGGGGTTCATGGGCAGGAACCTCATCACACCTGGTCTCTCCAGTGTGGGCAGAATTTCCGTGATCTAGGATGAAACTCAGAGCTGCCCTGCTCAGGAAGGGGGCGAGGAGGGGAACGTTCACCGAGCACCGCAGTGGCCAGCCATGGAGCCCCCAGCTGCTCCACGGTCTCCCCATTAATCAAGTCCCTCAGTGGCATTCACTGGGCATCCACCATATTTCGTTCCCAGGGCTGAGCCTGTGCAGCAAACTGTCCCCAGTAGTGGGTACTAGAATGGCACCAACTCAGGGAGACTGGTGAGCATGCCCAAAATGGGTCATTTGAGCAGAGTTTCAAAGACTCTGTAGGAGTTTGCTGCAGAGGAGGGCTTCCCAGAGAGGGAGGCATTATTCTCTGAGAGGTGTGGTGATGAAGGGAAGAGGAGGGAACAGTGGCATAAGAGGATAGAAGCCAGGTTCACATATGTAGCATCGAGGGAAAGAGCCAGGAAAGCAAGAGGTCAAGGACACATAAGGGAGAGGGTGCTTGGCGGGAAGACCTGGGCCCCCCAGACACCACCGCGGAGCTAAGGGAGAGACCGCCACGCCTTCTCAGTCCCTGAAGAAGTCCCCTGGCTCCAGTCACCTTCAGTGTCACCAAGCCCCGTCTGCATTTAGTGACATAGACCTGATTGTATAGCATGTTACTGACTTGCAGATGGACAGCCTCCTACAGAAATGCTCTGAAATTCAGGAAAAGCATTATCCCCCAAAGCGTTCCTTCCAGGCGTATTTAAAGTAAAAATTGGAAACAGCCTACATTTCTAACAAGAAGGAAGTGATTAAATAACTTCTGGTAATAATGCTGATGGTAATAATAGTCCTCATGTTGGGAGCGTCCCTGTGCCAAGCTCTGCTCCGAGCCCTGGCTCAGTAGCAACTCTGCACTCAATGAATAGCACATTGACATGCAGCAGAGGCCTTTGGGCAACACTCAAAAAAAGGAAAAGCGGGTTTTGTGTTAAATGAAAAAGAGCAGAGAATCAAGTTATACATACATATATATATATACATATATATGTGTGTGTGTATATATATATATATGTATATAGGTGAAATGAAATATATATTGATATGTAATATCATAAGTATGCACATATATTCAGATATATTTTATGCATCAAAAAAGAGTGGAAGGAAATAAAGCAAAATATTAGCAGTACTCAGATATTCATTCCTTCGCCTCCTTTCAATTTTTTTTAAATTTATAAAATACTTTAATGGGTTTGCATTACTTTAAATTTTTTAATATTTTAATTATTATATAGTAAAGTTGACGTTGGGGGAAGTGTGCATACACGTCTGTGAATTTTAATACATGCATAGATTTGTATGACCACTACCACAATTGGGATACATGACTTATTTATTTATAAGAAGAAGAAAAAGCAGTAATTTTTTCTAAGTAGAGTTTCCAAAGATTGAGCTCCCTACAAGGAGATTGTATATCCTGGAGCTGAAAGGGCCACAGGTCCAAGAGATGTCAGGGTCTCCATCTGCCCAGTGCGGGGCCTCCCTCGATGGTGGCCTAACAGAGGGTCTCCACCATGGTCACACCCAGGGGATTCCATCCCTGGGGAGGTGAGGAGAGCCCCAAAGCTGAAGTGAGGTAACCAGCTCAGAGAGGAGGAAGCAGGTCTCCTTCCACCTCTTGGGTGGCTGCTTAGACAAATGGGTGTCCATCTTCATCAGAGACAGAACCTGCACCGAATACCATCCCCCTTAGGGAGGAAGACTGCCCTGGGGTCCCCAACTGCACTGTCCCATCCACATCTCTTCTACTTCAACCTGCCCTGAAGGGAAACAGAGACCAGCAGTCTCTGTTACATATTTGGGGGGACTTGAGGCAATATCTCAGCCTCCCCCAATTCCAGATAACCAATCTCTGCTCCTCTAAGCCAAGGGTCTCAAATTCAGATGCCTACAAGGGCCAGGTATGCACAAACAAACACCGAGGTTTGGGTTAAATACAAGAGGGAGCGATGGGGCCTGGGTCGGATGGAAGACCTCATGGCCCACCTGGAGGGGAAAGCTCTCCTTCAGCTCCAGGCATTTGTTGACAGGCAGGAACAAGAACTCAGTGCCGCCAAATTTTCTAGTTTAAAAAAAATCTAAGGAGGGTAGATGTTTCAAGGACATTTGCCAGCAATAGTTCGTTTGTTTGTAACATTGTGAAGGCTGATGAGCTGCCATGAGTTTGTGACATGTTCTAAGCCTTTTTTTGGAGACTGCGTGCCAGGCAGTTCCGTCTTCGGCTTTGCAGTCTCTAGCCAGACCCCAGGCCATGTCGGAAGGCGGGGCCACTTAGAGCATAACAGCCGCGGTGGGCTAACCATCTCCCTCTCACTTCCAGGTTCCTGGGCCACCGGGGCCAGAGGGGCCTCCCGGATCTCCGGTAAGTTTGGAAGGTTCATCAATGCTTCAGTCCCCGGTGACTGGGTCCCTGATGTCCCCTCCCTAGGGAGTCACTGGGCTCAACCTCAGCCCTAGGTCAGTCACCTCTTCTTCCCAGGGTGGGTTTTTCTCATCCACAGACCCCTCCTCTTCCCCTCCCATGTCAGACAGACACCCTTCCAGTGGCACTAAGCAGCTTGGGCACTGCCTGGTTTCTTGGAAACAGCTGACTGGCATGGCGGCCCGGGGTCAGTTCCCACTGCTCTGCAGAAGTCGCTGTCACTAAGCTCTAACCTTTGCGCTCAGACATCTGATCCTGTTCTTCCCTCTTCCTGCTCACCAACCAGTAAGAAGACTGGGATTAAAATAGAAAGTGAACCATTTAAAACAAGCCCCACTGGAGGGCCTTTCCATGGTTACAGATAAGAAAAGGCCTTTAAAAAGATCCCCTTGCATTGCACCTAGGGCAGTGGTCGGCAAACCGTGGCTCGCGAGCCACATGCGGCTCTTTGGCCCCTTGAGTGTGGCTCTTCCACGAAATACCACGTGTGGGCGCGCACCTACGGTGCGATTGAAACTTCGTGGCCCATGCGCAGAAGTCGGTTTTCGGCCTGGGCGAGTCTATTTTAAAGAAGCGGCGTTAGAAGAAGTGGGGGTATGTTCGCTGATGTCGACCCCTCAGATTGAGGACGTTTTTAGCAAAGGCCAGCTTAGGAGTGCCGTAGTTAAGTTAATAACAATGTACCTACCTATATAGTTTAAGTTTAAAAAATTTGGCTCTCAAAAGAAATTTCAATCGTTGTACTGTTGATATTTGGCTCTGTTGACTAATGAATGAGTTTGCCAACCACTGACCTAGAGGACTCCCAAGCACCCAAACCAACACATGCTCGTTCTTGCCTCTGGGGTTCATGCCTCTCTCAGGCACTGTGTCACCTGCTGTCACTGGTAGAGGTAGTAGTAGTAGTAATAACGATAGTAGCCAACATTTACTGTAACTTACTACATACCAGACTGCTCTAAGCACTTTGCATATATTAATTTACTCAACTTTTGCTGTGTTTCCTCTCAGTCTTTCATGAGACTCCTGGTCAGCTGTGAGGGACACAGAAAGATTCTCTCTGTCTCTAGTTGGGGAAGCCTAGCTCAGACCCCACCCTAGGGAGCCCCAAGCATAACCACCTCCTGCCTCCCCTGGGCAGGGACCCAGGCCAGGCTCTGCACCCTGAGCTCTTGCACGTCTGTGGTCCAACTTGTGGACAAAGATTTTTTACTTTAACCAGAAATATAGTTCTGAAGCACCTTATTTTCATTCCAAATGCAGGGGCTCCAAGGCATTCCTGGACCAAAGGTAAGAAGAGGTCATGTGACAGGTGCTGGGGGCGGGGTGGGGGGAAGAGGACTCAGTGAGGGCAGAAAATAGGGCAAGTGCTTCAGAGGTGGGCAGCCCAGCTGACCCCTTCCCTAAATGGAATCATGTGAGCCTCTGGCCAGTGGGATATGATCAGGACACAGTGAAGGCCTGTGGTCCTTGTAACATCCATCATTGACCCTGGGCAGGCTTCGGATTTAAAAATGTCCCATCCACCAATGGACCCTACAGAATGACAAGTTAGGTGCTTGGCAAAGATGAAATCCTTTTCCCACGTCACCGGCCCCAGACCCTTGGAGACAGAGGGGAGTGGCGTGGGACCCCTCCCAGGAATCACGCCGCTGCACTCTGGCCTGGGGCTCTCCCAGTCTCCCCCCGAAAGCACTTCAATGGACAGGAGGAGCTGGAGCCTGCTGGCCTGACAATCCTGGTCTCTTGCCCTAACCTTTTCCAGGGGACTGCAGCTGAGGCAGAGATGGGCTAAGCCAGGGATCCCTGGAGTCCCCAAACTGCCATCCCTGGGCCAGCCACCTCCTCCTCCTTCCCCTTCTCCCTCCCCATCCCTGCACCCACTCCTGTCCCCAGGACCTCAGAATTCAGGAATGAGTTGTCTGAGTCATGCCCATCTGTAATCTCCCCCCATCTCCCTTTCCTCCAGGGGGAAGCAGGACTCGATGGGGCAAAAGGAGAGCCGGGTGTCCAGGGAGAAAAAGGAGACCGAGGTCCTCTGGGATTGCCCGTGAGTATTGTGGACCCAGCAAGACGGTTGCGAGGAGCCCAGCCGGGGGTCCTGCAGGTGCCGGGCACTCCAGAGCTGCGTGTGGTTTTGCTCTCCCACCTGGGCGAGACCCTGGGCTCTGATTCTCTTACTGAGGCCTGCTCTGGCCAGGCCCTGGTCTCAGTGTGGGGGGATTATGCAGCTGAATGAGACAGGGCCCCCGACCCCAAAGAGCACCCAGCTGGAGAGCCAGAGGTGGCTTAAGCACAGCCTTGGGCCCTATGAGTGCCTCACTCAGAAGCAACAAAAGTGCCCTCGCAGGGGCCACACTTGGAGAACTTGGGAGCAGCGGGACAGAGGCGTCTGCTCCATCACTCTTCTGTTTTCCCAGGAGGGGCCCCGAGAGCACCCCTGATCTCTGCTCTTAAGCCCTGGCCACAGCAGAAAAGCTTGTAAAAGGTCAGATTCTCCTGTCCCCACTGGCTAAGGCCACCTGGATCCCAGTTCCCTGAAATCTCTCATCTCCGCCTGCCCAGGGCTGGAGGCCTCAGGTCAGCGGACGGGGCTCGCTCGGAAGGCCTTTCCAGGTGTGGCCTGGACAAACCCTTTTGCCCCAAGCTTCGGTGGGCTGGTGGGCTGCTCACCTTGTCCAGGAGAGCACAACCCACCACCCTGGGCTCCACCCTCCCTCAAACCCAGTGAGGGTGGCACTGCTCTTGGTTTGTTTATCAAGAGCTGGACGGGATTTCAGTGACCCGTCTGATCACTGCACTGAGGGACCCAGAGAAGAAAGTGGCTCACTGAGGTCACATATTAAGTCGGTGGCCAGGCCAGGCCAGAGGCTGCTCCTCCACTGAGGTCACAGCCACGCAAGGGGCTCTTTCCGGCCACTGGGGCTTCCTCTGTCCAGGCGCCAGGCCAGTTCCCACCCCAGGAAGCCGTAAAGAGCAGGGGGACAATGGGGAGCCCAATCACCCCAGCTTGGCAGAGCTTGAAGGTCTGGCTAATATAATCCCAGCAACCGAAAAGCAAGAGCAAAAGATACAACTACCTCCTATTAGTGCATCAAATGCAGGAGCATTTAAGGAGCTGATTCGCTTGACAGACTATAGAAAACTGATGACTTTAGCAGACATTTCCCCGTGTCTGAAGCTGCATCTGGAATGATTAAGAACTCCTTCCTAGTAAAGAGCGTCCCTGCCCCCACTCAACCATGAATTTCTCCTTGTCCACCTTCCTGGCCCCAACAACCCTAGTGAACATGGAGAATTCCGCCAAAATGCAAATGGCAGGGAGACCAAACGAGTCATATCCACAAAGAAAATGCCAGAGGAAAGACACGGTGCCCCGTCTATCTTTCATTTTTCTACTTTTGAGAATCTGGCATTTTATGTGAAATCTCCCTAGTCTCTTACATTCAATCAAAATGACTTGCAGCACTACTGACCATACAAAATATGTCAGTGGCCCACACAGGGCCTGAAAACCTCCAGTCTGGGCTCCAGACCTCTCAAGATAACCCCGTATTAATATGAAGAGACAAAGTTTGTGGATATTTAGCTAATGTTCTGTTTTGGGGCTTCACCTCGATATTATGTTCCATATACTAGCAGCATGCTTTTCCAGGCATATCCTATTGACTTCTTCCTATTTGCCTTCTACAAGTAGTTCTCAACACTGGCTGCACATTGGGGCCACCTGGACTTTCTAGCTTGCCATTACCCTGGCCTCACTCTTGGAGACTGAGGTTGACTTGGCCTGGGGTGGGACCCAGGCACTTGTATCATTTCACATCCGCCTCAGGAAATTCTGGTGTTGCAGCTGGGGTTGAGAACCAGAGTTCTCTAGGCTATGAGTCAAGATCGTCCCAGAGGTATGTAGGGCCTCAAACTGAGAAGCAAGGCTCTGTAGGGTCCTACATCCAACGCCCCTCCCCCAGGAGGAAGCAGCTCCCTGCCCTCTTTCCGGGGGGCATTCCTCCACCTTTAAATCCTAAGTCTGAGGCCCATTTGGAAACAGTTTTCAATAACTCGGTCCTTACTGAGCTGGAGTGTCCTGCTTCCTTCTCCCTGGCTTGTCGCATTGGAATCATCCGATAATTTTCCCCTGGTTCTCCGAGGTGGATCTCGGGGGTAGATTTATAGCCCAAGGTTGAGCAAGAGCTCCCATTCCCACCACATATAACACCGGGCACTGCATAGTGAGTGGGTCTTACGAGGATCCCACCGTCAGCCAGTTTACTCCAGGGTATACATGGCCTTAGACCTCTGTCCCAGTCAGCTGGGGATCTGGCCCAAAGCCCTGTTCTGTAAAAGAACCCTCATCTGGGATAACATGAATGGACTGGGCTTGTGTTGAGATCTGCCAACTGTGAAGGTCCAGAGAAATGCCAGGCATCATTAGTATTGTCATTTAAGGGCCAACTCTTCCCACCTGCTGGAGTACTAGTAGAAGCATCAACTCAGGTTTCAAAACCAGGTGCTGTAACTCAGTGACGAGCCTCTCAGGGTCCCCCCATGTTGTCCAGTCTCAACAGGTTTGCAAATGGCTGGGAAGCCCACCCTCACCAGGTCCCCACCCCTCAAGTAGGCTTGTCTCTCCCCAGTGAGACTGGCCCTGGGAAAGAGGCACCAGCCCAGGTTCCAGGCACCTCCCCATGAACTCACTTTCTATATCCCTCTCCCCAGAGCGCTGCCACCCTTTGGGAGGGGTTTCTGAGAGGGGATCCAAGGAGGAAGGGGATCTGGGGGCACAGAGGATCAGAACAGTCACGTGCGCTGATCTCCACCCAGCCTGCTCAGCAGTCGGCCGCACTGCATTCAGTGTCTCCATGTTGTTGTTGGTTTCCATGTGAATACCATTACCTGTCCTCCCAAGCTTACTTCTCCCATTTTGTTTGATTACCAGCATTTGTGTCTGTCCAGAGTCACTGCTTCACTCACCTCTTCCCTCCCTGATCCCTTTTTCTCCCTCCCACTCCTCCCTTACCCTTCTTTTGGTCAAACTGTTCCCTTTGTCCAGGGAGCTTCAGGTTTGGACGGCAGACCTGGGCCACCGGTGAGTGTCACTTCTCCATTACCCTTCACCCCGCCCCACCCCGCCCCAGCCTGTGCTCCCTCTCGTCTATCCCACTGTGGCCTCGTGTTCCCAGCGAGTTGTGACTGATCCCACTACTGACACCAGGAAGGTTCCACCTGTGCTCTGTTCAGAAGTGCTTCTTCTGGCCTCTTGACCAAAGATGGCTGGCCCTCATCTAAACATTCCTGCTCGTAGTATGCACCCGGGTCCTCACATACGAATTTCCTGGGTGTGGAGTGGGAGTCCCACTCCAGCGGCAGACTCTTCCTAAGCGAATGCTGAGTGTGGGCTGGGAGCCCAGCCCCGGGGATCTGGGCCATGACTCATCCCCCCCAAACACAACAGTGTCTGTATGTGCCCGTCACGCTGTGTTGTCTTCACACTGTGAGCTCTGTCCATGTCCTGTCTGCCCAGAGGGGCTTCCTAGTTCTGCGTAGCCACCAGTTTGATGTAATGGGTGGGGACAGCATGGACGGGTGGGGGCAGGTGTAGCATTAGGAGCACACTGGCCAGTCCCAGCTCAATGTTCTGTGGGCATGCTGCACTTCCTGTTGCACCACAGTCATCCATTCCAACAGGGGGTTTATGCAGAGCTAATTGATGGACACTTGGGCCCCCTCTTTCTTTGTTCTTCCTGATTCCAAAAGACACACATCACCTACTCTTGACTGGAAAGTCCCTGAACCCTCTCTTTTTTAACAACTGGAGCATCAGGAAAAAACGCCCCTCCTCTTCACCTCCCAGTCCTCCTCCCAGAGCTCCCATCAGGGCTTCAGGGCAGTGGCACTCCCAGCTGAAGCCTGTCCCTCTCCATGGTGTTGGGATCACTGGCCATCGGGGCCAGGAGGCTGGGCTTCCCTCTCGGGAGCAGCTCTAACCAGAGCTGTGTGTGTGTCCAGCCCCTGCCAGCCGATCTCAGCTCTGACCTTGCAGGACATTTTTGAGGCCACAGCTGCTTGGTCTGCCCAGAAGACAAGGTTCTAATGAGCTGGCTGGAGCGACACCTGGGGGAAGAGGAGAACTTGCAGGGCTCACTTGAGGAGGGAGACATACGCTCAGGGTAGAGGGAGATATCAGATCACCCCGGCAACTGGCCTCCCAGGGGCCTCTCCCCACCTCGTGTTTATGGAGTTAAAATTATAGACTCTCATAAATGGAGAAGGTGCCCCTCTCTGAGCATTATTACGGCTTTGCTCCTCCACCACAGGCCCTCCATTTCCATCCTCCTTGCCCCGAGCGCACATTTCCCAGGCGCCCGGCCAGAGCTCGGCAGGTGATCTGTGGCTGGACTCAGAGAACCTGAGACTTCCCTCTCAGCTACTTCCCCCATTCATGATAGACAGAGGGCAGCAGTACAAACTCACATCTTCTGTCCCCTTGGACCTGAGGATTTATTTTTTCATAAAATCAATATCACAATCTTAAAGGCAAAGTTATATGGGAAAAGTAACCCTGCCCTGCCAATACTGATATTTATTGGGCGCCAAATGCGTGACATGTGTTCATCCATTTTAACCTGGCAGCAGCTTGAGAGGCAGACACTCGTGTTATCATCCCCATTTTACAGGTGGGAAAACTGAGCCTCAGAGAGGCCAAGAAACGTCTGCAGTATCGCAGAGTTCAAAGCCTTCAAGCAGGACTGGAAGCCAGCCAGTGACTCTGGAGTCCTGGGCTGAACCATCACTCTGATCTGGCCTCTTTCATTTTTGACGTGCTCTTGTCACCGATGTCCACAGCGTTCCTTCTTCCCTGGTAGCTGCAAAGGGAGCCCCGAGAATAGCCTTTTTCCCTCTCCCGCTGCCCTCCCCATAAAGTAAATCAGCATTCCCCCACTTGCTCCTGCCCCGTCTTTCACAGCTGCACCTGGAACATGGGGGACTGTCCACAGGCCCAGCCCACACCCCCTCATGTCTGAGCAGGACACACAAACACTGAGGCCGAGCAATGGGAAGCTCTGCAACACACACTCCATCTAGCCCGGCTGTGACTGGGAACCGGGGGAAGATGTTCAATGACACCATAGCAAGCCCTGCTCCGTCTCTAAGCAACGCAGCTCCCATAGCTCCAGCTGCCCCCACTCCCCCGCGGCCCTGGGTGAGGAGCTTCTCACACACCTCCCCTCCCACCAGTGTGGGCAGACCAGGCCTCGAGGCACACTAACGCACTCTCCAACCCAGCTGTTCCCTTGGGCCCGGGAGTGGAGACAGAGGTCTGGCCAGAGGCTGAAGGCCAGCCGGCCGCAGTGGGGCGGGTGGGTGGGCGATGGCTGAATGACCCTCCCACGCCTGCCTCTGTGTGTGCGTCTGCATCGGTCTCCGTGGCATGAAGCCCCTCCCGCTGCATGTGGAGCTGTGACAGCAAAGGGGTGCCACCCTCGGGCCCCCATCCCTGGGCTGGTGTCGTCTCCCTCCCAAGCGCTTCTGGGAGCAAACTAAGCAACCGTTTTCCTACCGTTTTCAGCCTTGGCAAGCTTGGCTGTGAAGTGAAAGGGGTTTTTTCTTCCTCAATCCGGCCCTGAGGCAGGGGAGGCTCTCTCTCCCCGAGGCCCCCAAACCCAAACAGGAACACAGCTCAGTCGGATGACTGCCCTGAATGAGCCTGGCCTCGCCAACCCTGAAAACTGGCCACTGGACCTTGCTCCTCTCCAGGCGTCGGGCGGGTGCCCAGGGCTCCCCCGCCCCAGGACCTTCACCTCTGCTCTCCTTCGCCTCCCCAGGGTACTCCAGGACCAATTGGAGTTCCAGGCCCAGCCGGACCAAAGGGTGAGAGGGTGAGTGTTCAGGGAGCCGGGAGCCTGGGCACCCCCCTCAGCCTCAGGCCCTCAGCCCTGGCACCACGGCCCCAGGGTCACCGCTCAGCCCTTACCCGTCCCCCCGGAGGAAGCAAGTGCCATCCTCAGCCAGGGTGGCTGCTCTGCGGCCTGACAGCTTTAAGGAAGAAATCACAGCTCTTTTCTCCTTTTTTCTTGTCCCTGCCTTTGTGTTCACACCCATTTCCTCCCTCCTTCTCCTCCCCTGCTTCTGCCTCTGGCCAGCCAGGACCCCCAGGACACTACTCCCTCCTCCCAGAGGCCTTGGGGGACAGGCTTTGCTGGAGGGAGGGTGAGGGGCCTCCAGCCGCCTCCCGGGACAGAGTCCACACCAGTAACGCCACCCTTCACTCAGACCTTGCTTCCTGGATGGCGGTTGGGGGAGACTGGCGAGGAGTCCCGGGTTTAAACCAGAAAGCAGTTGGTGGCAGGTTGGTACTACGTACAGAAGGGCTCAGTGGCTTCTGTCTCCTGTTTCAGGGCAGCAAAGGCGACCCTGGGATGACAGGACCAACGGGAGCAGCTGGGCTTCCGGTAAGTTTCACGGGGTCAAAGGTTTTCTTCACGCACCCTGTCCCCCAGAAACACTCACAGCAGCATGCCCAGCACCTCCAGCAAGAACTCCAGCGCTAAGCGAGACTTAGCACTACTGTGGCAGAAGAAGCTGCCAACAGCCAACTGGTCGACACGCTGGAATATCCCTGCAGGGGGACCAGGTCCTCAACTGTGTGGACCATCTGCTGGGATGCAGCAAACACATCATGAGCCCCATCCACTACAAGGCTCCGTGTCTGACATCATGAGCCCCATCCACTACAAGGCTCCGTGTCCGATGCAGTGGGGGGTTTCACAGATGAATGTGCCATGGCCCTGTCCTGGCAAGGGGGACGGGGGGGAGAGAGGGGGGCGGAATCAAATCCAAATCCTATCCTACAAGAAGGAGAGGGCAGCTTTCCCAAGGGATGGCTTCATGATTGAAGCAGATTTTCCCATTGCTTTGTTTTAAAAAGTTGATTGCCTGAGAAAACCAGAATTTTACTTCCCACCCACTTGAAGATTGTCCATCTACCTGTTCATGGTTCCATGCGTGGCTGCCCAGGCAGCTCTGCTCTGGCTGAGTGTGCAGCCCCAACCAGCCTTGGCCTGTGCTCATTCCCCCGCTGAGGACATGGAGGGCAGTGTGCGCCTCACAGAGAGGGTCTGGGGAGCTCTGCAGCCACTTTTCTGGCCAGAACCTGGCTGGAGAGCCATGCAAACACCTCCTCTGCCAGAGAGTTCCCTCCCCAGACCGTCCTCAGCACACGTCACCCCCAGCCTGAGTGATCTTGAAGAACACAGCAGGACGTTGGCCACGGAGCAGAAAACCAGAACCACCCTCTTGGCTTTGCCCATAATTCATGATTTATCCCAAGGCTAAGTTCCTTGAGCCCCTTCATCCCCCTTCTGTAGAATGGGGATAATTAAATCTGTCTTGGAGAAATTAGGCATCAGAGAAGAACTTTATGAGCCTGGGAGGAAGCACTGCACGGCCATCCCGTGTTTTCTTGTTAATGTGTTTCCATGGCTCTGATTTATTGCAGGGTTTACATGGACCACCCGGGGACAAAGGAAACCGGGTGAGTCTGACCCCTCACCCTTGGGCTCTGGTTACTAATGTCTTCATGATGTGGTGGAATGACCAATTGGGGATTCCTGACCCAACATGGCAAATACAGTTTTTCCTGATAAATCGTTGTAAATTGAAAGGCTTGCTTGTGAGGGGCTTAATCTGTGGCGCGCAGGGAGCCTGGGGCCTGATCCTGAAATTGAAGCTTGTATTTTCCCGCCTGACAAGGGAAGACAGAATCCCACAGTGGCCATCAGATTAGCATTGCCATTCAGTGATGGGGGTCACGTGCCCAGCTCTCTCTACAGTGCCCTGATAATGGGCCCCTAAATGATGTTTTTAAATCCAGCGTAGCCTAGTCCTAGCCTCTGAAACAGTTTTGCCAGGCATCCCAGGCCACTGGTGAGAGAGAAAATAAATTCCCGTTCTGAGAACAAGCAGAAAGCTATGGTGAGCAGCCAACCCTTGCACAGCCATTATTTCTCTTGGAAAGCGCCAGCAGGACTAGGAAATGACCCGCGCCTTCAGAGGCCCCCAGCTCTCCCTTTGCTTTCTGCCATCTTCACCAGGACACAGTTACCAAATGCCCACAGCACCCACAGACATGTCATGGCATATGACACATGCCATGTATATGACACATGACATACTTGGTCCCAGCAGGGACCATTTAATTCCGTCTGACCAAGAGATGACCTTTGAGGTCCTTCCTAGAATATCTCACCTGCTGCCCATCACAGTGAGTCTCAGTGTGACCCAAGCCCCCTAACGGCCAAGGGCATCTTCTAGTGTAGGGGTGGGGAACGTCCGGCCCGCAGGCTGTATAAAGCCCGCAAAATCATTTGGTCTGGCCCTGCCAAGACGTTAGAGGTGAGTTAGTTACATGTTTGGCCAAATATAGCAGGCTAATTTTTAAGTTGATAATTTTGTATGGCCCACAAATGATGGGGTAAATATCCAAATGGCCCTTGGCAGAAAAAAGGTTCCCCACCCCTGTACAATAGGTCAAAAGAGCCAAGGATCTTAGAGGTAGAAGAGGAGTGGGAAGAACACAGGGAGAAACAGGCCCAGGACGATGATAAAATGCACTGGATCCCCACAGAGCTGAAGGCAGAGCAGGTGGGCTCCAGCTGAGCGTTGAATACTGGTGATCATGATCATGAACAGAAAGTGCCAGAATCCATATGCTTAAATCTAGCACTGATTCCAGTCTCTTCAACTTAGGATGCATTTTTGGAGCACATCTATATCCCTAAATTCTCCTTTCTGGCAGCTGGCCAAAAGCAACTCGATTTGTCCCATATGTTTTATAAACACAAGGGAGCAGGAAGAGCTGCCGTACAGACTGTCCATGGGAAGACCAAGTCTAGAAACCACTGGAAGAGACAGACCTACTCCCAGACATGTGCCGGCCTGTTACAGCCGGCTGGGAAGCCCACCTTCATTGCTGTGGCATCCAAGAATTTAGGCCACTAAAAAAATTGATCATTCCACCTTCTCGTTGGCACACTAACCTCCTTTCTAATTTATTTCTAACCTGTTCTGGTTTTCGTTATTATAGTCAATTAAAACCTCTTAAACCAATTTCTTAAGACGCTTTCAGTTGGCTTGAGGCACTGAGCTATTTGAGGGCTGCATCACCAGCCTACGTGGTGACTATGTGGTTCTAGAGGTGGGGGCAGGGCAGGCAGACGCCCTTGTCACAGATGGAGGGGAGGTGGAGGCTGGAGGCGCTGATGTTTAAGGACCCAAGCCACCGAATGAGGCAATAAAGCCCCGGGAATCAGTGGGAAAATATTTCTTCTCCACTTCCCCTTCCTAAGGTTTTGCACGCTCCCTCTGTCCCGTATATAAATTAGCAAATGTCACTTAGTAAAGTCCAGAGAGGGTCCAATTGCATGAGCCTTCTTTTGAGTGTGGCCAAGAACCCACTGGCTTGTTCAGTTAGCGATCAGGAGCAGCTGATTCCCTCCCTCCAAGAGATCTGACTGTCTGGACGCCAGAATGTCCTGGAAGGGTCCCCCTACACCTCACCTCCTCTTTCAGACCTCCTTACGCCACCAGCCTCTGAGGTCTTGGAGGGGAGGTGTGAGGGCTTGGAAACAAAGCCTTCAAAACAAAGAAAGGCCCAAGTAGAATCTGCACCGTGGCTAGGGACAGCTTTTATTCTGATGCCTGGGAGCTCAGAATTAACACTTTGGTCAAGGTCAGAGGCTGGAAGGGCTTAGATGACAGTCCGGTTAGAAGTCTCATTGTTGCTGAAGATGCTCTAAGCCCCTTGCCCCACCAGGTGTGGCGGGTGGCTGCCTGTAGGGCTGCTCCCAAACTCAACCACCCATGCCGGGGACCCCATCAGAGGAGTGGTTGAGTTTGGGAGCAGCCCTACAGGCAGCCCGCTGTTCTATCTGACGGCGGCCTGAGATGCAATCTTAAAGCGCTGCTCCTTCGTGTCCGCCAGAAGACGGTCCTGAGCCTCTTCCCATTTGTGGAGGGAGGAAGGTCCTCGAGGTGGTGGGCAAGGCTCAGAGCCCCTCACAGGCAGTTTTCTGAGGGTTCACACCTGCCAGTGCAAAGGACGTTCTGTCCTTGTCACTAAGGACACCCTTCGTGTCCCTTCACAGCCTGTGAATTTGGCCTAGGAGCCACTTTGAGGACGAAAAAGTCCATCGAGGATAAAAGGGGGTGTGAACTTGGCAATCTCGGCACCAGGACAATTGGGTGTGAAGGTGGAGCTGCCTGCAAGCCACAGCCAACTGAAAGGTCTGCGCACATGTAGTGTGGCTACTGTCACTCTCTGAGATGTGCCATTGGGGGGGCATGCACATGTGTGTGCATGTGTGTGCATGTGTGAGTGTCTTGCTTCCCCAAGCCCCCTTGCCTCCTTACTATCTCTTTTGGCCTGGGCCTGCCTCTTCCTTCCTTTACTTCCTCAATATTTACCCCCCTATATTGCGCACTATATTATAACAACCCCATCTCCCTCATCCTATCCCTTTCACTCCCCCAGCTTCCATTTCTTTCCTCTTAAGGCAGGTTTTACATATGCATTACTTTTGTGTAAGGGAACCTCTGCAGCTGGCTTACTCTGCCTTCCCTGTTCCAGCTGGGATCCTCTCTCTGCCGGGGTCTCGTTGGGAGCAGGAGGGTGTAGGCAAAGTTACCACTCTAGTGTCTCCAAAGGGCACTCAGTATAAAGCCATTTCTTGTGCCCTTAGAACATGATGCCCATAATGCAAGTCAGTCACCCATCCTGAAAGGCCGGACCCGCACACCCTCCGGTACCCACAGGCCGATCACCTGGGACCTGGAGCCCGAGTCTTTGGGAACCTGTGCTCACTTTTCCACTGGCCCAACCCAAGGGGCAAGGGAGTCTCCTCCCTGAGAAAGTTCACGTGGGCTTCCCACCCACGGCGAGTGGCTTTGCTTGTCCACTGCATGGGGCTACTCACACCACGACGGTCTCGTTGGTGGGAGTGTCTCAGAGCCAGTGTGATTCTGCCTGGCATGCATCACACGTGCCCTCTTAAACTCTATCACTTTCTAAGTAAACATTTGCACTTTAGAAAACTCACTCAGAACAACGCATTGGCAACTACAGGGAACCTCGGGAATCAAGAGATTTAAGGAATTTCCAAAGATCCTGGAAAACATCAAAAACATCCTTATCCTCTGGCTCCCTCTAACAAACCCTTACCCTCCACTACAGGAGCACAGTAGACACACGAGGCCATACCTTACACCAGCCAACAAGAAGCAGTAATTGTGGTTGTCATCATACGAAGCAACTGTCGTTTACTGAGCATTTACCACGTGCCAGTATTAAGCCCTCACAGGCACAAAGGCCTCAGATAAAGTTCCGAGGCAGGTGTTACTCCCCGCACTTTACAGGTGAAGAAACTGAGGCTCAGAGGGTTAAGCAACTTCCCAAAGTCACGCTGCTGATAACTGGCCGAGCCTCGTTGGCGGTAAGCTTTGGCTCTGACCAGTGTGCTGCCCTCCTTCGAGGTCTGTGGCCCTGGAGCAACACTGTGGACGCATTAGACAGTCGCAGGGGACAGGCGTTCCCAGGAAGCCTGCCGGGGCACACCTGGCCCTCCAACCTGCGAAAATCCAAACTCTAATTCATTACAAAGAATCCCCCACAGCCCTTCTTTAAACGGAGAGTGACTCTGGCACACGCAAAACGGGGTTCAACTGAGACAGACAGTGCTCACTGAAGCTTTTCAGAAACAAATGAATTCCTTGAACCAACTTGTCTGTTTACAAATAGCTGCCTATGGCTTCAGACCAGGATGGACAAGAGACACAGAATGGAAGGACCCCGCTGAGAACCAGGGGCCACCCATGAGCCCTAGACACACATGTACATACTAGCACAGACTCATACATGCACACATGCGCACAACCATGTACATGTACACATTCATACATGCTGTGTTCACACACACACACACACACACACACACACGCGCGCGCGCATATGCACACACATGGCTCTAAATAAAAGTTACCTTGCCTCCTAATAGATATAAAAGGGATGAAAACCAATTTGGACAAACGCTGTCAAGCCAAAATCTTTCAAAATGGACCCTCAAATAGAAGGAAGGGAGTCCCCCTGTTTGTACTCTGGGATCAATATTAGCAAAGCTGCCCACCAGTATCTTCCATTTGCATTCCCCCCCCCCCACCTCCACCTCCGAGCCCTCCTGCTCCCTGTTCCCAGGTCTCGCTCACCTCCCCTCCCCCTCCCCACCTGCCTTAGCCAAACCCTCAGGTCCTTAGAGGGGTGGCAGTGAGTACTGACCCCAAATCCTACTGGGGAGACCACCCTAATTGAGAGAAGCTGTTTTCCCTCTTTAATTTGTTCTATGTCTATCTCTAACCGTAACACATGAATGATCCTAAAGTTTTGATGTTGTTTTTTCTCTTGGACTAAACTATTATTTACAGGGGGAGAGGGGGAAGAAAGGCTCTAGAGGGCCTAAAGGGGATAAGGGAGACCAAGGAGCGCCTGGATTAGATGCCCCCTGCCCGTTGGTATGTTTGCATTTATCACTTGCCTTCTTCTGGTTTTTCCCTTGAGGTTTGCAAGCTGGAAACAAAGAAGGCAAATAAACTAGGATGAGAGCCGAATGACTACACTGATGCTACCAAATCGATCTGTGCCTTTGGCCCGTGGAATGCTTGCCGGCCGTTGGTGTGGCCGTAAAGCCACAGCTGCAAGTCATTCTGGCTAAATCCCTCCCCTTTGAAGCCGCACAACAATTGATGTGTGGATGTGGAGAGACCCGAGGAAAGGGAGTTGGGAAAAGGCCTCCACTCTTAGCTCCAGGATGGCTGTGGGAGCCAGCGTAGCATTTGTGAGCCCTGCGTTTGCCTTCTTCGTTTCGTGGCCACCTGTGTAGCCAGCAGTTCACGCTGGTGGAATCCTCGCCCGATCAGGATGCAGGACCCCCAGGTTAGCGTCTCCTGAGGGCACCCTGTGCCCCCACTGGGCAAAGCAAGGCCAGACAGGTGGCTTTTAATACACAGACTCCCAATGCCCACCGGCCACCCAGCCAAAACCTACAGACCAACATCAGTAAGCAAGCACCCCCAGGAAGCCCTCCCAAACAGGCCGGTAAGGAATGCCTCCTGGCACATCGGCCGGCCTCTCGAGTGCCTTTACAGCCCGTTTGAAGGTTCCAAAAACTCTGGTGCATGGACATTGAAATTCATCTGTGTCCACTCCAAGTGAGTCTGTCAAGGGAGAGGGGGCTGCTGTCCATGCTCCAAAGCTAAAGTCTCCTGGAGGCCCAAGGAAGAGTAAAGGTTGGATTTAGGAGACGCAAATCAACCGCGGAGGTCCTGCATCCTGGGCAGGGTAGGATGGGCCTCGCGACGCCACCGTCGGAGCTGGCCAGCCTTGACCTGAATAACCATCGTGGTTGGTTTTGTGAACAGGGACACCGAGGTTTTAAAGGAGAGAAAGGGGAACCGGGGTTACCAGGGCTGGACGGACTGGATGCCCCGTGCCCATTGGTATGGCATCACCCTTCCTTGCCTGCATGGCCACTTTGGGCTTCCCCACGTGTGTGGTTCGTGCCTGCGTGCCTCCCAGCACCCTCCACCTCTTCCTGCTCCATCCATCCAGTCTCCACTCCCCACCTCTCCTCTCCGTAGACACCAAGGGTCACCTGCCTTAGCTGGCCCTCGGGGCTCCCGCCGCACCCACTCTTGCATGCAAAGCTTGCCAGGACGCGTTCTTGGCCTCCTCCTGCAGCTGCCTCACAAGCCCATCCCCTTAGTGGGGCCATCCCTGCCCACCGAGCCAGCGTGGGCTGTGCCTGATCCTCCTTCCGCAACTGCTTCTAGACAGATCTGCTACCAGAGAGAAAACTAGGAGAGTGGTGCTCTGGGCAGGTTCGTAGGAACAGGGCCTTCTCTTCCTTTGCACCCCGCAGTTACTGGCTGAGCACCTGGCACAACATTTGAGACAGATGCCCAAGTCTGCCCACAGCCCACCTACTCCAGCATCTCACAATTTGGCAGGGCAGGTGGGCACACCTATAAACACGGGGTACACTGAGAAGGAGGCACCTGGCCATTCTATCCGGCTGCCCTGATGACTGCCATGGAGCCGGGGGGAGTCCAGGGTCAGGATTTTAGACCCTAAAGGGCTCATCCTTTTTGCTTAAGTCCCAAAAGACCCTCCCTGGGTTCCCCTTTCTTTCATCGGAGCTGGTTCATCAGTGAAACATCTGGAAGAGCGAGAAAAGGTTGAGAATGTAGTTACGGAAGAGAAGAGGAGGCGGGAGGGGGGGAGGGGGAGGAGAGACATGTCCCAGACTAGGGCAGCAGTTCTGCTCCCAGCAGGCCCAGTCCCTCCCTAGGCGGGACCTGCTAGAGCATCCTTCCCGATTCCTTCGGAGGAAGCAGACAGATCAAAGCTTCCGGTTCTCCTCAGCTTCCCCCAGAGGTTGGAGCCCCACACCCCACCTGGGGTCACACAGGAATTATCTCGGAACAGAAGAAGAAAATTATTTTTAAAATACGATGTGTGACCTAAGAGATGACCATAGAGCCCCTTCAAGGAGCTTTTAAGACCACCAACGAGGGTGAACAGTACGAGCACACACAGCAGCATGCCGCCTGTCCCCTCTTCTCCAACCCTTGCTTGGCCCCCACGACCCACTGGCCCGGCCTGTTGAACCCAAGCATGCGGCGCGCACGGGCACCTTTCTCGGCTGTGGAATGTCCGTCCCTCTGATCAGCCAGGTCCTCTGCCACATCCTCCCACAGCCGCCGCCTGGCCTCCCTGCTCCTCTCACACTTGGCCCTTCTCCTCACCTGCCCCTCTGTCCCCCACCCCCACCATCCATGTGCCGATGGGATGCCACTGTGGCCAGCGGAGGCTCCTCTCCCTTCCAGAGTCTGTGTGCAGCGGCGCTCTGCGGGGGGTTGGGGAAGGGGCATGCGGTCGTCATGAACCCTGGAATGCACCACCTCCCCCTGCAGACCTTCCCACACCCCAAGGGGACAAATGAAGGTCACGTTTATTTGACCCTTAATGCAAACTAGCATATTCTCCAATAACAGCCCATGTTGAGGTGTCATGTGCATTAATTTTGCTGTGGAAGTGCACCTAACTCCCCTTTCCTTCTGGTTGCTGTCTCCTGCACGGTGCGATTATGGGTGTGGGGGCGGGGGGCACTACTGATCGTGTGTTTTAGTACAAGATAACTAGACTTAAGGCCTCCAGGCCGGCTGGCCAGCTGCTGAACGCCAGGTGAGAGGTGTAGGCACCGTCATGGGTGGATGAAATTGGTCTGGGACCCAGAGGGCTCTCACACCATCTCCCTGGGGCTGATCACTGGCTCTGGTCCCCTGAAATTCCTGTGTCCATCTCTTCCTCTGCCCTGGAGCCTGGAATTCTAGAATCTGGGTTTCCATTCTAGTACACGGTCTTAGCCTGGTTCAGCCTCCCACTCCCACCTTGTCTCCCAGAGGTCCCTAGATTCCCCCAGGGTGGCCAGAGAGGCAGGGCGCAGGGCCCCAGAAGATGGGACACCCCAAGGCTGCCGGTGCTCCAGGGGTGCCTTCAGCAAAGGGAGCAGCAATGCACAGTTCATCCCCATCCGGCCACTGCATCTTCATCCCAAATTCCCTGCAAGCCCTTGTCAGTGCACGGGAGGCCCCTCAGAGCCATGCCCCTCTGTGCCCTCCTCCTTATTGCTTATCAGATGGGAACTACCTCTCTCCTCCGGCCACTGATGAGGAAGAGGAAAGAATAAGAGAATGGGAGGGCTGGCGGCACCTAAGCAGGCACTTCCTGCAGCCCTGCCTTCCCCAGGCTTAGGGAGGAGGAAGCAGGCTGCCCGGTGCTGAGGGGACCTGCCCCTGAGCACGCAGCTCCCGTGCAGCCAGAGCAGAGAGCAGGCTGTTCTTCCCATGGCTCTCAGGTCACCTCTGCTCACCGACCCTCAGGCTGGGACAGCCCCTCTTGGGCTCGCACTGTAACTTCATGTGACCTGAGCCAACGGGAAGACGGATGGGCTTGCTTCCTGCCTCCTCCCAAGGCCCTGACCGGGAGGAAGCAGGAATAGAAAAGAAATAGACAAGAGCAGGCAGGGGCCGGGTCCTGACCAGCCGCCACAGTGTGTGGTCCTGCTGCCCCTGTGCTGCCTGCTCCATGGGCCGCCCGGAGAGTCTGAGCCGTGTGCTTCCTTCCGCTCCGCAGGGCGAAGATGGCTTACCAGTCCAGGGCTGCTGGAACAAGGTGAGTCTTCCCAGCGGCCCGCTGTGCCTGGGGCACAGGTGTCCTCGGGGCGCTGTGCTCCACCGTGTGCTACGCATGCACCATTTCCATCCGGGCCTTTCTGCAGATGAGGCAGTACGGTGTGGGTCGGAAAGGGGATGATCCCAAAGGCAGGGTGCCCATTGGACATCCCACGCACTGCACACACTGGGAGAACATTTAAACGTGCTTTTTAAGGCACCAGCAAGCCCAGTGTATGGAATTTCCATGCAGCCACGCAGATGACATCTGTGTGCTTTGTATGGTTAATGTATACACTACCTTTTCTCCAAGGAGCTCTAGACCTTGTTTTAAAATTAGTCGTCATTAGCTATTCTCAGAGTGTTCATCTGAGGTCATTTAAGCCATACGATGACATTTATCCAGATGTAAGAAATCTAAGTTTCTTAAACTATAAATCCACATGGCTTCTATCCCTCCACGTAGAGGCTGGCCAGCTCACCGCTCGCCCCTTCCCTTGAATGTACGTGTCAGAGCTTCATGCTTCCACGCGAGACCTGCGGCCCAGGGTTTCTAACATGGAGCCGTCATTTATTCACACTTGCCTTGGGTTTTGCCATCATCAAAGCCATCTGACCTCAAAGGGCTGTGCCCTGGCACACAACCGTCCCACTCAGCCGCGGCCCCCGACACACAGAGCTCCCCAGCCAGGCCTGGGCCATCGGTATACTAATCCAGAAACCTAGCCTGGTCCCTGGCAACGATAACACTGCCATGCTGTCCCCCCACAGCCTGCCTCCACCTTTCCCCCCATCAAAGACTTTTTCTTGTAACCCCCAGCATGGCCCAGAGTTTGCGCTTAGCTAAACCGGTCCTGTCCCCGTGGCAGCAGGATCATACCGACAATGAGCTAAGTATGGTCCTCTATGCTGAATGCCCAAATCTCATTCGTTCATGGCATTGGGTAAAAGTGGTGAAGCCAAGACCCCAGGCCCTTGGTGAAGCACCTACTTGCCCAGGTACCTAAAGCACTCTCACCAGGGAGAGGAAAGTTCGGCACCCCAGGCCGATGCCTCCGCAAGAATCTGTCCCTCCGGCTGTGCCTCCTCGTCCGGCAAGTCCCCCTAGACCAGTGATGGCGAACCTTTTGAGCTCAGTGTGTCAGCATTTTGAAAAACCCTAACTTCACTCTGGTGCAATGTCACATATAGAAAATTTTTGATATTTGCAACCATAGTAAAACAAAGATTTATATTTTTGATATTTATTTTATCTATTTAAATGCCATTTAACAAAGAAAAACCAACCAAAAAAATGAGTTTGCGTGTCACCTCTGACACGCATGTCATAGGTTCGCCATCACTTCCCTAGACCTAGTCACAGCTCTACAGAAGCAGGTAAGAGATGTGTTGAGTGAGACCCCTTGCCCCCTAAGAGTAAGAATTTCTCCTTCAAGGTTGCTGCTGTTGGTTCGGGAATAGAGATGGTTGTGCTTTGCAGGCGACGAACAGCCTCTATCTAGAGCTACCGTTGTCTTGGAAGAGCAGCTAGAGAGCCTCCTGTCTGTTGGTTCATATCATAACTCCAGTCCGGGATGGTCAGGAATTCAACTGCCCAGCCTCCAGAGGCAGCATGGACAGAAAGTGCCCTCTAGTGGCCAGGAAGGGGAGGGACTGGAAGGCGAAAGCGGGTTCCCACCCTCAGGGTGCAGAGGGTCAGAACCAGGGTTTTCAACCCCCATTGCCCATCCAGAACGCCCATCCCGCCCAGAGCAAGGTCTGCCTCCTTTCACACACGGGAGATAAACACCCAGAGACCCACTGGCACTAACTCTACGTTGTTCTGTGTTTGTTTTTGTTTTGCAGTGATGCCTCTAACCTGGGATTGGCCTGTGTGTGTGTCTGTACATAGAATATTTATTTTTATACAGTTTTTACTTTTGGAAAGTGCCCGAAGTATGATGCATCTTACAGATTATTAAAAAAAAAAAAAGTAAAAACCTGCATATTTTGTACAGAAAATACCAACCTCTCCTCTTTTGTTTACAAGATGTTTTATACAAAAGTCTATGACTCTAATACACTTTCTGAGATGGTCACATGTTTGCATGATATTTGTGCACAGTTATTAAGTATGGAAACTTAATAAATTACTGTGTTCTGCTGCCAAAGGGAGCCAACCAGCACGAAGGTGCTGGCTAGCCCATGTGTGAAACCACACAAACATGAAGGTCCGTGGTGTCTGCCAGGTGTGTCTAAGTGCCTTTGAAACTCTTATGGATTTTCATTATTAAAAAAAAAAAAGAAAGAAAGAAAGAAACATAGCAGCAGTTCATGATCCTGGTTAGTCATTAAACTAAATACCTTACTTCTTGTGAAAGCAGAAGGTCCCAGAAGCAGGGTTCCCGGAAGTGTACTGTTCTGAGATGTGAAGCCCGACAGGAGGGAGGGGACTCCGTTCAGCAATGTCCACTGTAACATGTTCCAAGTTCGTGACGGTGACATTCGAGCACTTAGGGTTCAGTTGTGATGAATGCACCACCACCACCATCCCCCCCCCAGCTCCCCCATAGGCCCCAGACTTACTTACAAAGGGCTATTTGCTACTTTTGTTTGTTGGTAGTTTTCTGTTTTTCTTCCTTTGAGCTCGTGACCAGCATCAGCTATTGCTGTTGGTGGCCGTGAGTTGATACAGCTCTGTAAGGTCCACCCACAACCAGCAGTTGAAAGCTTTGCCTCAGCTGCCATTTCACTCCAACAAAGAACAGGCAGCAAACAGTCATGAATCTGGGCCAGATTGGGTCCATCTAAAGTTGCTTTTGTTTTTTAAGAAACAGAGTTTTACTGCTGCCTCTTCATAGCACCTTGCTTAGGAGAGGTCTCAGGAAACCTATCGTAGAGACAAAAGAATCAACTGGTGCAGCACACAAGTTTATCGCCAGGCGCTTTACAACATAAACTGGGGCTTCTGAAGGTCGTGACAATAACAAACTACTTGAGTAGTTTAAACACCCTCTCATTGTGCTGTCATTTTCACTTTTCTTTCTATATCCTCTCTTTGTAGAGGGTACACAGGCAAACTTAAGCTCACACCTGCCGCACACAGTCACAGGACTGCTACATGGGGGGCTTCCCGTCCTGAGACCCGCCACGCTGCTGGTGAGGTCTCACTCACAAACTCTCGTGTCAAAGCTGCCCAAAGCCGGGACTGTCCCAGCATTCTCACTCTAAATGTCCACTCGGATGTAGACAGCTTCCTCCTCTGAGTCCTGGCTTCCTCGTTTGAGAAGTGGAGCACTTGAACGAGAGCTGACCTCCACGGCACTGAATGGAGCTCATCTGCCCCTCCCCACGTGACAGGGCAGGAGGGAGGGGCCCAGGCCCACGCCACCAGCTGGCACAGGTGCTTTCCTACCGAGGGCGAGGGTCAGGGGCCAGCGCTTTCCGGGTAACACTGACCAGCTCCTATGGCCCCGTCGGGCCAGCCTCGCCACTCGTCACAGCCAAGTACTTTCAGGGGCTGAGAAAATACTTCAGTTTTCATTTATTTTAAGAAGAAAAAAATTACTCCGTAATATGTAATCATGAACCCAGGCAGGGTTTGCTTCCCCTTCCCATCAGAGCAGTCATCAAATATAATTTCTTTTCTATTTTATGGCGGGAGCAGCCCACTGCCTCGCCCTCAGCTCCGTGAGCTGAGCTCTCCACCTTGAAGCGCTCTCCTCACCGCTTTCTCTGCTTCCTCACCCCGTCTGAGACCCCGAGGATCTGGCTGTGCTAGCCCCACTGCCTCATCCCCTTTCAGTCCTGGTCGGAACCCACTGAGGATCCCAGCATTCACTGGGAAGCTTCCGACACTGGGATTCTGTTAGCTGAATCCCCTTTGGCCAACAGAAGCCTCTAGCTGTACTTCAGTCCCACCATTGTCCATTTGCTTATTATCCCCCAGCTAATACGGCGAGGGTTTGAAGTCCTTCACAATAATCTATAATAATAAAAGCATAATATGCTAATTAGATCGGACAGCCGAATGACCTGCCGGACATCATTCCGGATGTCCTTCCAGATGAAGCCACCATGGCGGGGGTAAGGCAGAGGTGGTTAGGGGCGATCAGGCAGGCAGGCAGAGGCTAGGGGTCCTGGATTGTGAGAGGGCTGTCCAACTGCCGGTTTAGGCCCGATCCACAGGGATTCCTGCAGGATCCGACCTAAACCAGCAGCCTGAGGGACATCCCCTGAGGGGTCCAGGATTGCAAGAGGGTGCAGGCCGAGCTGAGGGAAACCCCTCCCCCCGTGCACTAATTTCGTGCACCGCGCCTCTAGTATAGTTAATAAAATAGAAATGTGTGCAAAGAAAAGTTGAAAATTCAGAGTCAGGGAAAGTAAGTACAGAGGAAGTGGCAGGAAACCCCAAAGAGGTGGAGGGCAGAGAGGCCCTCAGCACATTCCACTGCAGGCTGCCTGGTGCTCAGAGAAAAAAGAAATGATTTGCTTGGTTTCAGTGCCCATGCTGCCCTCCACAGGGGGTGGCAGTTCACAGGTTTTCCCCCCTCCCCTCCCCTCCCCCCTGCATACACAAGCTCCTTGTCTCCCCAAGTAGCCTGGTGCTTCCTCTGCCAAGACCTCCTCCCATCACAGGCTGTGAGCTGCACACCCCCAGCCCCACCCTCCTGACTCCAGGGACCCCCGGGCCTCTCCACTTGGACCTTAACTCCAGTCTGCATCAAAAGTGGCGCAGGGAGATTAGAAATAGGGAAGCAAGTGGCAGGAAGCTGGCAGAGTAGTGGGGATCAAACTCACGCCAGCAGCCCAGTGGACAAGGGACAACCAGGTGCTGGGAGGACGTGCAGGTGCAGACCAGAGGAAAGGATCAGGGAAGGGCCGCTCAGGGTTGCGGGGCAGAGAGGGCTCATGGAGGTAAAGACACGCAGGCCCTTCTGGGGACGTGCAGCCCCTCCTGTTGAGACCTGCCAGCCCAGGGAGAAAGCCATGAACCCAGCCCTGCCCCAGGGGCCAAATTACCCCCCAACTGGTGATGTCTGGAAGGCCCTGGCCCTGAGAGCCGCTGCCTCCTCTGGCTCCCTCCCTGGCCCGTGCTCTGTGCTCTGGCGCAGGGGACGTGCTGCCCAGCACTCTACCTGGAGACGTGCAAACACCTGGCTTGACAAAGACTGAGCCAGTGCCCTGAGGGTGACAGTGGCTCTCACCAACTTGTGCCTCTGTAGTCATGTGAGCCAAAGGAAGCTACACACACACACACACACACACACACACACACACACACACCACGTACCGGCTCAGCGCCCTGTGTTTCCTCCCTGCCAGGCCCACGCTGGCCTCCCTTCGCGGGCTCTGCCTTCACTGGGCAGAAGGTAGTGCCACGGACACGAGGAGAGTCGAGTTAGTCCACGAAAAAGGTGGGCACTGGCCAGCGAGCTGGAGGCTCAGTTCTAGTCCTTTCTCCACTACCCGGAGCAGGCGACTTACTCCAGGTATCAGTTGTCCGGCATGTCCAGTGAGGACGCTGTCTTGAGTGACCTCTGACTCCCCGAAACCTTCAGACTCCACTGACCACTCAGCTCCTGGTAGCATTCCGGTCCCTCCCCTAGAGCTCCTGGCTGTGATGCTATTATGCATGGAGTTGGCACTGCAAACCTGTGTGGCATGCGTGTGCTTCCTAACTCTAACCAGCAGCATCCCCCGGGGGCCCTGGCCACACAGGAGGTGACGGGTCAGCGCCCCCAGGGCAGGCCCGTGGCAGAGGGTGCCTCTCACATTGGTGTCCGGCTGCCAAATTCATCAGAGACTGAGCTACAGGTCTAACCACCAGACTGACAGGGGGTCCCCAACCTCCTACCAAGGTCAGGGCCACTGTGCTGCCGTGGCCCGTTCACCAGCCTCCCTCATCTCAGGCTCTCTGCACCCCTCCATCGCCACCTCACACTCCACGGTGGGCCTCACCCCTGCCCTGCACCGGGACACATTCTCAGGCACTTGAGACGTGGAGCACATGAGACTCCACAGCCCTGAAAAGGAGAGGACAGGCCTGGTGCGTGGCTCGGAAAGGAGGAACCGCGCACGGAGATGGAGAGCAGAGAAGGCAGGCAGGGGCAGGGGCAGGGAACCGCCACTCATGTCTCCAAGGAGAAGTCTGGAGCGTGGCGCTCCCTGGAATCAGCAGGCTCCTTGCTTGCTCGGTGAGGGAGGCGCAGGAGGGCCCGGGAGGGGAGCTGGGCCTTCTACTCCGAGCAGGCTTCTCCGCACAAAGGGACCCTCTGGCTCCAGAAGAGCTCGGCCCCCGGAGAATAGCCCAGGTCTGTTGACATAGAAGCAGAACTGAGCTGGGGACAAGGCTTCAGCACAGACTGGGCCTTCCCCGAGGGGCTGCCGGGTCCACTCACCGGCCCTACGGGCCTCCTCTGCTTCCCCATCCTCCACGCCTGTGCCATGCTGGGCCTTGGCCTGGGATGCCCTTCCTTCTCGCCTGTCAACATGCTACCCTCCTTTCAAGGCCCCGTGAGACACCACAGCTCGGGGGAGACTTTTCTGGACTCCTCGGTTGGATGAGTTCCCTCCTTGGAACAACCAGGAACTCTGTGTTCTTTGCTTCCTCCGCAGTCCCTTAGAACGGGAAAGCTGGCTTCCGTGTTAGACAGAGAGCTCGTAGAGGGAGGGACTTCCTTACTCATTAGGCTCCCAGTGGACCTAGGTCTGGTCTCCCCCCAGCCCATGGTCCGGGCTCATAAACATCTACGACCTGCTGAATTATCGACCTACTTTACTGAGCAACTACTAGGTACAGGCAGTGGGGAGGGGAGGATGGGGCTATAAGGCCAGGAGCTGGCTGGGATGCCCAGCAGGGTGAGGACTATGTACTAGGTGCTTCATGCGGACACTGGCAGCCAGCATGGCCGGAATGAAGAGAACACAGCACCGCCAGAGTGAAGAGCGAGCCCAGTGGGCCCAGCAGGGATTACAAAG